ACGTCGGGATCCGCCCGCCACTGGCGCTTCTCTTGCAATCTCCACATCAGCACATGCTGCCTGGCGAAGCTCATCGCAGATGTAAAGGAACAAAAGAGGAAAATAAGCGTGCACGGAGCCGGCCGCTTCCTGCAGCTGCCGGAAAATGCGCTGCGTGGCCAGGTCAGCTCRTGTCGTCAGCCCACTTCTTCCAGAGGGACCTCTGTGCTTTACGGAGGGTCTGGGAACACCTTGTGTCTCATGTCTGGCTGTCGCTGGGTTTTCTGGCTTTCCCTCAACCTGCAGCAAAAGGTTTGTTTAGAGGAAAAAACGGCGTTTGCTTTATTCAAATGTGCTGAGCAGGGATTTGGAAGGATTTGGTTAGGATGCCAAACCTGGAAACCGTTTCATCTCGAGGATGAGCAGAGCATAAGGAGGACTCGGTGTGATGCCTCATTGACTCGCTGAAGACCTGCAGATTTCCTCTCTTTTTCTCTTTTCTCCTCTTTTCAGCGTGTCCGCCTTCATTCCACGAGTCCCGCTCTCCCCGCCAGCGTGGAGGGCGCAGGAGGGCGCCGGGTTGGCGCTTTGCGGTCCCAACCAGGAGCCGTCCTCGAGCCGCGCACTCAACAGCTTTCAGGCTAAACCCTGCTGCAGTTATTGCCAGTTATCCAGTGCCATTCCTCACTGCGCTCCTTTGTCTTGCTGTGGGGCCCAGGCTTGTTTAGTGTGAGTGAAGGTCTAGCTACAGTTGCCCTAAAATGTAATAGCAAAGTGTTGGATCTGCTTGTTCTTGGTGCACATTGCCAAGCTCCAGAAGACCCAAGTGCTGCAGGCACCGTAAGCCCTGTCTCATGGAGAAGTTGAAGGAAGCGTCTTTGGCYACATAAGGAGCCAGAGATTCATCTTGTCTAATCTCCAGCAAGAAAGAGCAACAGCAGGGGCTTGGATCAGAGAGGTTGTTTGAGGCCTAGAGGAGCCTTTGGTGGGAAGGGACGGACTGCGATTCCTGCGGGCTCCTGAGCAGGGCTGGACGGGCCAGCCCCAAGGCAGAGCTTCGGGCCCGCTGGTTTCGATGGTGCCCTTCCCGTGTGACAGGCGCCTTTGTGCCTCCTGCTCCAAGYTGTCTGGTGTCCAGCGGGTGGATGAATGTGGTATTATCCGCGCGGCTTCGCTCGCCTTTTGTGCGCGTCGCTGTCACGTGCTGCGGCGCCGGGGACGCTCGGCCTCACGCTTTGGGCAGAGCATCACRTGTGGTTGGAGCCAAATTCTTTTCCATCTCCTTTGGTGAAGGAAACGGTGTGCAACCTCGAGCGTGAGCTCGGGGCTCTCAGCCCTTGGAAGGCGACTTGTAKCCAGGCCGAGAGCGGCAAAGTGTGCGCTGGCTGGGAGGAGAGCGCGACTCCCRCTGCGTTGAGGGGAAAACCAGGGAGGGTGAGTGGGGAAAATACTTCTGAGCTGTCCTGCTGTCTGTCTTGCTCCTCAGGAGAGTCATCCACAAGTGCTGTGAGCAGTAGCCAGCCTCAGGTAGGATCGACTTGGTTCCTTGTGATGCATATTAAAAACTAACACTTGTCGTGGTGCTGTCATGCTGCTTTGATACCGAGTCCAATTTGAATTTCCGACCTTGCCCTTCCTCCTGCTAGTTTTTTTCTGTGGTTGTCCTGATTCAACCAGCCCTATGACTGTGCTCTAAACCAGATCTCTGAAAGGATCCAATAATAAAACAAACATGGGCTGTGGGGAGATTAGGAAAATAGATGTTTTTATGGAGCCAGAGTCTGATCGTGAAAACACAGAATGCTTATCAGTAGATATCACTAGATGCACGTGGGTGCAACYGAAGAGGACGGTGTTTAGAAACCTCTTGATTTGCCATCAAATAATAATGTAGAACCGCAGCCTACATCCCTTCTCTTAGGCTGCACCACAGTTGCGACCAGGCCCATTTAGTCCAAGCTTCAGTGGTGATGTCCCTGTATCTTTCCTAAAGGGGGGAAAAGAGTGGGGGGAACAAACGATGACAAGGTCAGGTAGCTTTTGAGGGATAAACTCTGTCCAAAACAATGATGAGACTAGAAGATGTGCACGCTGCAATTTTCTGGATTTGGCACACAGTACCTCGCTCTAAATGAGCCTTTGTGCTTCTGGTTTACTGCAGTTGAAGGTTATTTTTGCGCTTCCAAGTTAACGCTCTGCAGGCTAGCATCCCTCTCCTGGCCTTTTATGCCACCGGACGTAGATTTGCATGCTCCTATTTTCACAAATTTTGGCATCGTGCAGCATGGGAAACCTTTTGTAGGCAGAAACTGAGGCCAACACATGTCCTCACTGGTTGGGGAAGTTCAGCAGAAAGCAGCTACAATAACAGCTTGATTCTCATAATCCAGGGGCATGAAACTAAATCCTGGTGCTACACAGGGATACAAAACTGCCCGAGGCAGCAGCCCTGAGCTTAGTGTTACCGTTTGGGGAGGTGTTTTGTATCTGAATCATCGAACTGCTGCCTGGGGAGCTCCAAATCCACCCCAGCAAGCCGGATGGTCTGTGCCTGGAAATGTGCTCCTCATCCCAGCAAATGCAGAACGCACCCCCTCCTGTAGACCAGAGCTGCAGCAGGAGTTGGGTTTAACGTTAAGCACAGTCGGGTGGTACCTGTGCTTGGGTGTAGCAGGAGCTGCTCGTTGAGTCCCTGCACAGGAACGTGTGCTGAGGCTGCTCTTCTTCTGGAGGAGAGGGGTAATGTGAGGACACCTTCCCGGGTGGTGGGATGGTGAGCACCAAACCCGCTGCATTCCTGCCCTGCTGCTAAAGGAACGAGATTGCTCTTAGCCTCCTACGCACATCCCCCTGCCTGCAGTTTGTAGGACGGCCATCTCCATTGGGATGGTCCCTGCATGCCATGCGCACATCTTCCATGCGAGTGTTGTCGCCCTTGCTTCAGCCGTTCCTCCTGCCTTGTGCTTCCCAGTGTGTCTCCATTGGCTCCAGAGGATGAATCGGAAACTTGTGCACAACAGGAGCCCTTTTGTGAGTGCTCCGAGCACTTTGTGCTGGCTGGGCCCAGGCGTTCCAGCACGCGGCGCGAGCTCCTTCCAGCCGCCCTTCCGCCTCCAGCAGAAATGTCAGGGGATGTTAATCTGGGGCATGGAAGAAATGCTCTTTAAAGAAAGAAGGGGGTTGAGGAGAAAGGCTGTTGAAGCTGCCAAAGCCTTGAGTTCAGYGTGACTGCCCAGTCAATGCAGGCAATGTCCCTCGCCCCGTCCCCGTCACATCTCTCCTTCGTGCTGGTGTGTCCTACAACTGCAGGAGGGCTGAGCAGCTCTAGGGTCCCCTCCTGGTCTTATGCCAGGAGCAAGGGAGCTAAACGGAGGCCCATCCTGGGRTCTCACAAGAAGACGCTGCTCCCCAAGACCTGATGGAACCGAGACGGGTGCAAGCGGCACCTCCTGCCGCAGAGGCTGCGCCTCCACGGAGGCTGTGGCCGCAGAGCGGGTGCTCCAACAAGGCGCATAAACAGCCCAGCTATCTCACTGTCCTGGAATCCCTCAAGCCGTGGGCTCCGGAACGCAGCAGGRGACGGGATCACTCGATACCCTCGATGCGCTGCCCTCTCTCAGCCTCAGTCGCGGAGAGACGCCGGGCGCAGCTCGCGCCGACGCGCCGGGCTGAGCTGCCTCCCCAAGGCACATGACTAATTTGGAGGCCTGGCGTGAGGACACGCTGCAAACACACGTGCGTGCCGGGGTTTGACCTGAGGAGGCCTGGGACGGATGAGTTCATCGCGCTTCTCCTGCCARTAAGCTGCTTTCAGTTAGAGAGGGCTAAAATTCACTAGTGTGCTCTGCCCCGCCGAAGCGAAGATGCCTCCTTGGAGCTCCTGCTGCCTCAGAAACCCACCGAATGCCTCTTTGCAGCTGAACCTCCCCTTGCATTTCTGGATAATGCCCCTGTTGTTGGGGGCTTTGCTTTATTGCTCCTTTGCAGCATGTGCATTAAAGCTTGCAAGCAGTTACAGTGAGGCTTAGGAAGCCTTGATAAACAGCAGTCTTGTTTCTGAGCTGCCCCGAATCTTTTGCAATTAGAAGGCATGCACGATGTGCGCCCAGGGTGAGGTACAGCTATCCGTGCACATGCTTGGCACCTGGGATCAGGCAATTACCATGATTTATCCAGGGAATTATTTATCAGGTACCTGATATTGAAGGCACTAGTGTGGTAGGGGCGAAGCAGCATCGTGTTTCTGGGACAGTCGGCTCCGCTCACAGCACCGGCCGTGCTGCGCTTGGTGCTGAGCTTTTCAATCGAGAAAAGCTTTTCAATCGAGRCTTTTATTGCATAAACTGTTTATTCCTCTCCCCTGAGGAAGGAGGAGAGGTTTAAAAGGGTGAGGGAGGAAAGCTGTGTTTTTTGGGGGGGAGGGAGAGGGTTTTGGAGCTTGCAGGTTGATTGCAGGCCAGAAGTTTTCTTCCACCAGCCCGCAGCCGGTGCCAAAAGGAGGGAGCTCTAAATAACACTCTGGCCTTCATGGAAAAGTATCAAATGTTCCAGGAGCCTCCGGCCGCGCGGCTCCTACCTCGCTTGCTCTCTCGGCAGGATATAGTTAGCACTTCTCTTAGCCTTATATAGCAAGGCCTGATAGTTAGTGTTAACAGGAATAAAACAACAAGGAGAGCTGCCAGATTGCATAAATCAGGCCAGTGTTTGGAATTTCATAAATGCCACGACTTTGGGTACAAGTTGAGCACTAGGAACAATACTGAACTGTTCTCGCTTTATCTCTCCCTCCCTCGCTGGGGGGGGGCAGGGGGAGAGCCGGGATTTTGCTGCTTCTTCCCTGCTTTGAATGTTTTTTTCCTGTTTTCCTCCCCTCCAAGACCGCAGGCGGAGCAGCGGCGGCCGCAGCCAGGACTCCGCCGACGGGCAGGACGTCGCGGTTCCCGAGCAGTTCTCCGGCTTGCTCCACGGCTCTTCCCCCATCTGCGAGGTCAGCGAGGACCCTTTCCGGCTCGTCCCTCCGGCGGAGAAAGGAGGTGCCGAGGGGCCGAGCCGCCCGCCCGCGATGCCGCTCGAGGACGTGGCCCCTGCGCCGCTGCGGAGCGGCTCTCCCGACCCGAACCCCCAGGCGCTCTACGCAACCGTGCAGCACGTCAGCCGGGCGGATCCCGCGGCTCCGGGCACGGCCCACGTGCCGCCGCATCCCGAGGACGAGGGGGACAGAGGCGGCGCTGTGGGCCGAGCCCACGCGGCGAGCAAGCCCAAAGCCGAGCTCAAACTCAGCCGCAGCTTGTCCAAGTCGGACTCCGATCTTCTGACCTGCTCTCCCACGGAGGACGATGCCATGGGCAGCCGGAGCGAATCGCTCTCCAACTGCAGCGCCGGAAAGAAGAGGCTGGAGAAGTCRCCGTCCTTTGCTTCCGAGTGGGATGAGGTAAGGCTGCCCTAGGAACTGTAATGCCGGCAGGAATCGGAGCAGCAGGAGCTTCCCTGTAGCGAGTYGGCCTTCGGGGGGTCTCCTAGGTGGTCATTGTTACTCTCATTAACGCGCATCTCACACGCAGGCAAGTGCCGGGTGTTTAAGGTGTTCAGTGAGGCTGACTTAGAGAGGGGGAGAGGCAGAACTGAAGGAATGAGGGACTTTTCCAAGGGTGGTTTTTTTTTGTTTGTTTTGTTTTGTTTTGTTTTTTCAGTTTATTTTTATAATCCACACACATGGCAAAATGAAGTTTCTGCTTCTGGTCCCTGCCGCTTGGGGCAGGAGCAGTGTCCTGGCCTGTGGGGATGGCGGGAGCAGAGCAGCTGAGCTTTACTTACTGTATTTAATAGCTCCCCAAGTTTCTCTTCGCGTATTTGTACCTGAGACTTGCTAGAAGTCAGCTCGTTGCCATACGGGAAGGCTCRCGGATAGTTAAATATTTCCTGCTCAAAGTTGGCCCTAGTGCAGTGCTCGGGCGGGATGAAGCGTCGCTCCGAAACTCCGCTGGGTTTTGCTGTGCTTTTCCATAGCAAAGTGTTTACAGCAAACGTGGAAAAGGAAGGAGCCTTTGGCTTCACAGTGATTTTACTAGTAGCAGAGGTCAAGCCTCGGCACGTCCGGGCTTCCTCCGCGCGCAGGAACGACCCYGTGGATCCGCTTCCCCCTTGTAAACAGCGAGCATCATTTCCCCCGTGTCAGGCTAGCACACYGCAAGAGGAAAAGCAGCTTTTCCTGCACGCCAGGGTAGAGCGAGGAAATTGGAGTAAGAATGTGGAATATTCACATCTGTCCACCCTTGAGCAGGTCCACGTACGAGACGGAGCTGTCGAAACCKGGTGGTTTGGGCTGCTCGGCTGCGGGTGTGATTTGAACCCCTCGTGGTGGAGGTGTGTTTAACGCGGTGCTAGCATCCTGTGGCTGGGGTGTGACTTGGCCTGGCCTCTCCTGCTTGTCCTGGCTGCCCCTGGCAGCTCCGGAGACTTGGGACGAGTGARACTCCCTTCTGCCTCTGTGTCCCCAGCTGCAAGGTGGTGACGACCTCTTTTTTTCACTGCACATTTTATCTCGCTGTGGAAAAGCACGGTACAAAGTTAGACATAAAGGGAGCACGCTGCCAGCTGCTGCCTCCTGGCTGGAGCTTGATTTGCCTTTTAATTTCCAAAGCCTTTGTATGGAAGTATTTGAGGTCTCATTCTGCCTCTGGAGCATATGCAGCCGGRTAAAAGGGAGTTGCTACAAGTTATGTGGCCAAGCCAGTTGGTGTGATAAAATATCCTACAGCAGACTACTGTGATGGCTGGTAAGCAATGGTAAAAATGTGTCTGCAGGGGCGTTTTTTAATTTTTCTCTGTGATTTGTATGTGCAGGACGGGGCTCCTCTGCTTGGCCAGAATAGCAACGATGGGATTTAGACAGAAACACAGTGCTGTTCTTGGGGCTTTAATTAGTTCCTTGAATGGGCTAATGCAGCTGCTCTGGATTAAATGCAACGAGCAGTCTCCGAGTTTATCGCTGGGATGGGGAATGATGATTCACTTGGCGAAGCTGGTCTCGCTTCCCAGCTCCAAGGGCTGCTCTGTTCAAGCTGCTGGCGCCGGGGCTTGTTCSTGGGAGCTCCTGCATCCCCCTCGGATTTAAACCTGCTGCAAGCAGGGCAGAGATGTTCCTGAAACGTGCAGCAATTGAGGGGAAGCTGGCCTTGAGTGGATGCTGTTAAATATTCCTCTAGAAACTCCAGGGGCGAGAGGGGAAAAATAGGCCGTTGCAAACACTCTACAGCTCAGAGGTGCTGTCGGGTTTGTAAACTAAAAATACGCCTCTTTGAAAGCTGTATTTGGTGCACCCATTCCCTCCCCGGCGAGGAGAGAGCGGGTGATGTGAAAGCTGCTGAGCGCAAGCGCCAGATAAAAGSGGATCTGCTCGTTTGCAGAGTTTCTTGGTGGAAAAAGCAGGGATGTTTTGCTGCGGCACGACACGGAGACGCTGGCTCTGCCCTCCTGCAGCCGGCTTGTGCGGTGGGTCTGCACCCGAGGTGCTGCGCGAAGGCGGTGGCGCTTCCAGGATGGCACGGGCAGCATTCCCTGTGCCAGGACCCGGAGCCCGCGTGTGCTCGCAGCCCCTCGTAAAGCCCTGAGCCCCTCCAGCAGCTCCCGGTTTGATGCAGAGCCCATGACGGCCTGTCTGGACAGCAGAAAATAGCCAAATTCGTGGAAATTTTACAGGTTTGCGTCAAGCTTGTCCCAAAGGGTTCTGAGGTCAACGTCACTTAACATCTGGACTGCTGCGAGCCAAGTTCCTTTATGCCTGCTTACAAATATATGTTTTCGACTTTCCTTTTTAGTGGAAACCTGTTTTTAGTGGGGAGGTTGGGTGTCTTATGGAGCCCTTGCTGGGAGGGAATCCAAGGAAATCCAACCCTTCGTGAATCGCAGGCTTGGCTGTTTGGGGGTACCTAGTTATCCCATGCCAGGCTTAAATGGCCTGTGGGGTTTGGAGGGTCCCTGTGCCATTAGGTCCTCAATGTCCATGGAATCCTGGGGGTGCAGCTGTAACTTTGTCTCCAGCGTGGCCGCGTTGGAGTTGGCCGCTCCTCTGGGTTGTAGGCGGCGGTGAGAAAAATGATCTGCTAAGTGTGGGGGCCCAAAAAGCACCATGCTGCTGAGAATTAGCCTCGGAGCCAGCGTAATCCTCCTCTTCCAGCTGTCTGCTCTCCAATAAGCGGCTCCAATGCTGAATTTGTAATGAATTCGGTGCTGAGCGGTTCCTGCATCCAGATCGCAAAATGAGGTGGCTGCTTTGTGCTCTGTCTACGGCTCTTTTAGGAAGAGATTAAACCCCCTTCAAAAGAAACTTTGCAAACTGAATAAAACATGCACGTTATTTTAGGTTTCCTTAGAAAAAGGAAAGGCACAAGCTATCACTTTGATGCATTTCTTTTTTCCCCTGAGTGAATTAGTTAGCTGATGAATTAATGAATATTTTTGTATCTAATTATGGCACTGGACAACCATCATTTYGCCTCTTTTATTAATAAAAAGTCCTAAGACAGCTCTGCCTTTCACTCCTGCCTCAGGAGGAGCTGGTTCCCATTTGCAGCATCTGTGGTGTGTTATTGCACGGGCTGTTGATCCATCTTGGGGCCACCAGCACCGACTTTGAGGAACCGGGCACCGGGTTCTTAGAGGTTGTCACGTCTAGTGAGGTAGCTTTAATACTTGAGCTCCATTAACCTTGTCAGGACTGCTCGGGTGCTTAACCACCTTGTGGAATTACTGCTTTAATTACACTCACAGAGCTGAGGATTAAGAACATTTGCATCCAAACGTGAAGCGTCCGTGAAAGCTCGTCCTGCGCAGGCTGCCGCTTGCATGAAGAGACACCCAGAAGTTCAATTCTGAGCTGCAAGCCAACGCTGAAAAAAATGCAAATATTTCCCTTGCTATTTGGGGGAAGAGCTGCTGTTTTTGTGCCCGGGAAGCGCCCCGCGTGAAGCTCAGGCAGGTTTGTCCTGACCAGCTCGCACAGCTCAGCTGCCAGGCAGCTGCTCCGCGGGTCCCGACCCGAGATTAAAATCCTCGTGTTGCAAGGGCAAAAATTGTCCCCGGGGCGATGTGTGGAGCCTCTCCATATCGATACCCCACCGAGCACGAGACCCTTGTCCTGTGTGCTGTCACTGTCGTGTCTCACCTTCTCTGCTGCCACCGTGTCCATAAACCTCCTTCTCTTGCAGGTCGCAGGACTCTGCCTGCAGCCCAAGCCACCTAAAACCTGGAATTTCTTCCGCTTTTTTTTTTTAGGGAGGAGAAAGAAAGCGAGCGTGGTCAGCGTCTTTTTTCCAGTTTCCGTTATTCTAAACAAGTGTGTCCTGCAGCATCTTAATCTGCTTCATTATAGCGCTGATTGCTCCATTATCTCCAGATCACAAGATTTCCTCCTGTTTTTCTGYACTAGGGTCAGGAATTCTTGCAGCGTTCTCAATGTCAAATCTTTCTCTTTTCCCTTTGCCTCCAACAGCAAGATTTCCTCCGGCCTGATTAACATTTCTTTTGGCATGGAGGTTTTCCTGTGTTTCATTTCCACAAAACAGGTTTGCTAAATATCTAGGGCAAACGGCCTCTCTATTAATTGCACAGCGATAATGAAGCCAGCCATCCAAGCCAAGCGAAGATGACTTGTCCGTTGGTAAAAACAATTGGTGTTCTGGTCTGAAAGACAAATAAATATACCTTAAACCTCGCTGCTAACTACGGGAATAGGTATAAGGGGAGCTCTGTTTGCCAGTTCTTTGGGTTGTATCAACTCTTCAGGAGCCAGATCAGGATCTGGGATACTTCCCTAGAGCAGATTTTAAAAAATATAGCAAGGCATTGCAGCTGATGGGCTACCCTCTGCATGGAGGGACTCCTCTGTCCGTGATACAGAAGGATTTGCCATCCTGCCCTCAATACAGATCTAAATGCACTTTTCTAAATTAACTTTTCTCCTCTTATTTATAGGTCACCAATTACAGGCTGAATGTGCCTCTAAATTAGTAAGGTAACAATTTTGATCCGCTCTTGCTGTGCATTTCTTCGAATTTAGCCATGTGTTAATGCTGTATTACTGCAGTATTGCTCTCAGTTCACCAAATTGTTAATTAATTTGGCTCTGACAGTCACTTTAGTTATGTAACCACCCCATGACCATTAGTGTTGGAAGGACTCTCATTTCAAGAAGAGAAATGTCTGGCTTCAATGTCTTTAATGGTCTTTCATTATGCTCCCTTCTTGGCATCTTTGAACACTTCAGAAGTTAATATATTTATTAGATAAATAGTGTTTCTTCAGCTGTATCCAAAGGCTCCAAAGCTGCAGTCGTGTTGCAGGCTGGAGGCAGCCTTTGCTGTGAGAACCTCATAAATCATTCTTGGCTTTAAATGTGTCTAGATGCGACGAGTATCAAGATCCAGGTGGAAACCACAAGTTGCTTTGGTGCTCTTAAGATTTAACACTGTTTTTTTTTTTTTCCTTCATTTATTATGAGTCCAAAATAAGCTGAGCTTTTATTATGAGTTCAAAATAAGCAGGATCCAGCCATTTTGGTGTCTGCAGCCCTGCATAAGCCAAAGCACCATAGACTCAGTCAGAAGAGCGGTTTATATTTTCTGCTGCTGCTCTAGAAGTGAGAGTCATAGGCCAGACCCCAATTTCCCAGCAATTAAAAGGGAAAATCCTAAGTCTTGATTAAACAGCTCTGCTTTCTCTTCCTCCCAGCAGCACCCAAATTGTCCCCTTTCCTGGAAAATCCATAAAACACCTGGAAATGCCTTGGCACAGTGTCCTGTCCAGCTGCAGTACCCTCCTCAAAGTCTGGAGCAAGCTCCAGCTGGGTTGTGAAGCCGGCAGGTGGAGGAATCACCGTTCTTAGGGAAGCAGGGGGCTCCTCTTTGAGCTTAATTTCCTTGGATTTGGGATTTGATGCTCTGACATCGGGGAGGCATCCGAGGGCTTCTGCACTGCCCTGCTGTTATTTATCCATTGGCTTAATGCACTCTTATTTTCCTCCTTGCTCTTTACAGTTAGCCCATTAGGCTAATGAGACTGATCATTCTGTAATTGGTGGGGAGGGCTTTGTGTTTAAATGGGTTTTTAAACCACAAAAGCGGCTTTTTAATTTAAGTGAAATCTGCCCCATCACTCAGCTGCAGAAGCTGAGAAATAACCAAGTCTGAACTCCTGTCACTTGCGTGGAATTGCAGAAACAGAAAACACCGATAACCTTTTAAACCCAACTTTGYAAGTAGCTTTTGAGAAGAAAATGTGCTGCTGGGGTTGCTCTCGTCTGACGCGTTTTAGCCCTAGGCTGGTTTGTACAATAGGTTATGAACTCTTTAATAATAAGGATTTATAGTGCGAWTCCTGATATATCCTTAATTATGTGTATGCCACAGGGTGTCGTTGTGATGCACTAATACCATACATGTGGCAAACAGTGCTGGTTTCTGTGCGTTTTGCTTTAATTACCGAATTTCACCTGAGCAGCGTTTCTGCTCCCTGCGTGCAGCGCTCGGCGCGCAGGTGAGCGCTCCCGTTGCCCTCCTTATGGACAGCAGCATCACAGGGCATTTCCTCTGGGCTTCAAGGCTTAGCGGGATTCTCGTTGTCCAACAGCCTCTCTCCTGTTCCCCCAGGGCTTGGAGGGAGCGGAGAAACTCTGCTTATAAACCCGTGGGATGGGATAGCTGTAGCTTGCAGCACTAACTGGCCAGGTGGTGYGGGCACCACACAGTTATCTATATTTTGTCCTCCTAGGACAACCTTGATATGTCCTTGGGAATCACTGATGCTGTCTGCAGAGGCAGAGCACAAAACTTGAGCGTTTCTTGGTAAATCTAAGGGCATTTGAGCCGTAATTTAGATTTTGCTTAGGCCTCTGTGGGAAGCGGACCGTGTGTGCCGGGCTTCCCGTCTGCCTTCCCRGGGGAAGCATCCCCAGAGGGTCCGCTGGGAGATGCTGTCGGAAGCAAAGCAGCGTCTCAGCCTCGGCGTTTGCATCCCGCGCACGTAGGAAGGTGCTGGATGCTTTTGCCACGTGTGCTCCGGAGCGCAGAGTCACTTTGCAGGAATCGGAACGTCCTCAGCGTTGCAAAGCAGGAAAAACCTTCAGCCTCGAGCGTGTCTTCAGCCGCCTTGCCTCTCCCTGGGCTTCTGCAAGCAAATCCGTTTCTCCCCATTAGGCAGGACTTGGATGCTCGGGAGTTTGTTGCAAATGAAGCTGTGTTTTGGAGACGAATCGCCAGTTGCTATGTTGTTGTGGCTGCYGGCCCGCCTGCGGGAAGGACCCGCCGCCTCCCCGGCCTCGCAGGCCTCCCGGCCGCACCCAGCTCCCTTTTGGGTTGCTCATTGCTCATTCTTGAGCAGCAAAACTGGGCGAGTTCTGTTGCGGATCAGTGTGCCTCAGTTCCCACCGCAGCCCCTGCTCCGGTTGCTGGCTTCTTGCAGCCTTCCCTTGGTTATTCCCCAAGGATTTTGGCTTTGTGGCTTTGCCCCTGCTCCCTCTTGGCTCCTCGTTGGGCTTGTTGCCCTTTGGTAGCGCAGAGTCAGCCGCCCTGCTAGGTTGTAAAGAGCTGGTGTGGCTGTGTTACTGTAGGATATAAAAGGTTATCGGGGTTATTTGGGCCAATATAAGGGGGGAAAAAACCCTACCCCCCTACATCCTGTTTGGAGCTTCCAAGGGGAAGAACAGGTTAAGCCCAAACCGAAGCGGAACCGAGTGTTCAGAGCGCGCCAGCGTCTAAGCTGCAGCACTATATTTAAACACAGTATTTTTGTATTTTAATAATTAAGTACCGGGAAAGAACAGCCTAAAAAACTGTAGCATGTGCTGCTTTCAGAAAATCCGCTTCTCCAGCCCCGCCGAACACTTGGCAGTGCGGTTGAGGGCTGGTTGAAGGGCACGGGGCTGCTTTAAAGCCTTCGTTCTCCCTASTTTTCTCTCCCCTCTCCTCTCCCGTTGCCCCCGAGTGCTTATTTGTGCAGCCCGRTCAACGCGCTCTGCGGTCACTGCGTCTGGTTGGCGGGTGTCCCCGGGAGGGCGTCGTGTTTTCCTGGAGAGCGCGAGGGGAGCCGGCCTTCCTCAGAGGCACCCGGATCCCGGCGAGAGGCGGGTGGCAGGGGAGGAATCCGCCTCTCCGACGTGTTCCTGTGCTCTCTGCCTTCCCCAGCCGCGCCGGCTGCAGCCGCCTCCCRTCTCCGGAGCTGAGCCCTCGCGCAGCGTAAGAGCGATCCGCCGGGAGCGCTGCCGCGGGAGCGGGCTCGCTTCGGCTCGCTTGGGCACACGCGCTTCCCCCCTCTGCCCTCCCTCCACGTCTCTATTTTAATCCCCCTTCGTGACCAGCTCCAAGAACCACTTGGCCGGACCCAAGTGATTCTTGCTCCGAATGACCACGTGGGGCCCAAGGGCTTCCCAGGCCTCCCGAGACGCTGCACGAGCTCCCCTTGGCTGGAGAGCAGGGGCTGCCAGGGCCATAGCTGCGTCCTGAGGCTGTGTCTGTATCCGACGTGCCCGACGCTCCGCGACCTCCGGCTCCTTTCCGTGAGCCGCGTCGGCCATCGGGGCCGGATTCGGCAGCGAGGCCTCCGCGCCAGCGTCCAGCCGTGGCACCGCTCCAGCCTCCCGAGGCCCTGGTTTTATTTGGAGATGAGGTTCGTGTCACCCCCTCCCCTGCGGCCTGCACGGTGCCTATGGCCTCCGTGTCCCCGCGGGGCAGGAAGGCGGCCGGGGGCTCCAGGCTTCGCTGGGGGCCGCGCTGGCCGCGGCAGGTACTGCTCACTGGAACGGTGCGGAGAAGCCCCGTGTCCGGAGGCCCCCGCGCAATTCCTGCGGAGGAGCAGGGTTCCTGAAAGCAGGAGCATGGAGGCTGCCTGGGCACCTCGAGCCCAGGCAGGTGAKGCAAGGATGTATTTGCAATGGAAGGAAAACTTGGCTTTACATTCCCTCCTCTGCCGTTGCTGACGGGCATCGGCTTTGCGCTGGGAATCCCAGGGATGTTTCCTTGAGCCGTTCCTATTTGGGAGTCTCCCTGAAGACTTATTTTGTTCCATTTTCTACTTTCGTTGTAGGCTGCACCTGGGGTAAGCTGGCAGACCTGAGCCTCTCGGGTGTCTCTGCTCTTGGGACATCCTAGGCTTTATTTGTTCCATGCTGGCCAGTCAGGCCTCTGAACTGAGATTTAGCAGCTCTTTCCCTGTAACAAATTCAGTCTAGCAGTTGTCACTGCGAGTTTTCCCTCTGCAGTGTTATGCTAAAATAGTCATATTTGCAAACTGTGATCTAGCATCGGTTTGGAAAACTTTGTATTTACTATATAGACAATGTAGTATAAAATTTCTCTTGGGTTATATGAAAACTGCAAATCAATTTAAAAAAAAAAGTGTATCCAGCTCTTAGGTGGACTTGCAAAGACACCATCTAGGCAACAGTTTTAACCTTTTTTTCTATTTGCATGAGATTTGCCTGTATCTGCTGCCTTTGAATCGCTGAAGTCGGGGCATGAAATTGTCTTCAGCTCCCTCTCCTGGCTCCTCAAGGCATTTGCCCCTGTGGTGATGCTGCTTTTGTGCCTTGTTGTCAAACTCTGCCCAAGCATCTTTGCACTCAGTGGGAGTGGAGAGGAGCAGAAGTTACCTGCACAGGATTGAGGAATGCCATTAAAATATAAATAAATAACAAATAAAGCCAAACGCAAGGCTTGCAGACAGAGCTGCGGTGGAGCTTGCCCCRTGCGTGCCAGGAAGGGGCTGGGGCTCTGCATTTTGGGGCTTTGCTGCTGGTGACCGAGGGACTGCATGTGTGTCCCGGTGAGCTAAAGAGCTGGGGGCTCCTTTTCCCCAAATTTCATCCCCTGGGCAGTGGGTTTCCCAGAGCTGTTTAGTTTGGGGCTCTGGAGAGCTCTCTGGAAGGTAGAGACTTTGTGGCATCGCAGCCCCTCCGTGGCCTTTTGGAGCCATCCATCCTCAGGAGGACATTCCCGGGCAAGGTGTTAAGGAAATCCCTCCYAGCCCAGGGATATCTTAACATCCTCACCTGGATTTGGCCGGTGAGATCCCCTCGCTGCCTGCAAAGAGCTCTGAGTGACTGCATGTGCTTTTCTGTTTGCTTTCAGATTGAGAAAATCATGAGCTCCATCGGCGAAGGCATCGACTTTTCTCAGGAGCAGCAGAGGATCTCAGGTAGCGTTTGCAGCTCGCGCGCGTCGCCCTGCTTGCCCCTAGAGCACAAGGGCCTGAGCAGGGGCTTTAGCTTGTTCCTGGCTTTGAACCTGGCTGCCTTTTTGCATTTGGGGACTTAATGTTGCTTTTTAAGATAGGGTCAATTTAGAGGTGACTTTGCACCTTAAATAACTCTAAGCATGCGCTCACTGCTGGAAATTGTGGAATTTTATTGGTGGCATCTGATACCTTAAGTGAACCCTTCAGTCCGTCCCTCAAGGTATTTCCTCAGTSTAGTGGTTTGTGCCTAGGTCTGCCTAGTTTTCTTCGAGGTTCAGAAAATCCTTTCTGCTCTGGAGCATTGGGTGGGGATTTTGTATTTCAGAGTTGTCGTACATCAGGGTCGCTGCAATCAGGATCTTTCCATAGATGCCAAAATCTCTTCCTGTGTTTAAGCGTGTCTCTGATCTGCTGTACGATTGCTTTTCATGCCCCTAACCCCCACAGTGCTCCAACCTAGCAGACAAACGCCGCTTCAGGGACGGACTAAACRTACCTATTAGGATGCCTCTCATGCAAGCAGTTCCAAAGACACTTTATTTTGAGTGTCAGATTAGGAAATTTAAAAAAATAACCTGGTCACAAACGCTTGGATGTCATATGTTCTTAAGTYAGCAGAGAGATGAGAGGAAAGTGACCTCATAATTAATGTTAACCTGGGCTCTGTAGACAGCGCTTAGCTCTGGTCAGATTCCTCTTTGCAATTTCCTTTTTTTATTAAAAAAAAMCAGTTTACCTGCATACTTCTGTGGCCTTGAAGTATGCAGTTTTATTGGGGTTTTTTGCCTCTTATAAGTAGTGTTGGTTTAGTGGTGCATTTTTGTGTTTGCCTTCTCTGATTTCCACAAGGAGGTGAAGGAGGAATCTTAGTGTCATTTGGTGCATTGATTTTCCTCCAACAGTGTGAGCATTAAGAGCCTCCCCCGGCCATGTTTGCAGCTGTAACAACTGTTATCTCTGCAATGCAGCACTGGAGCAACAGGAGAGGCCGCTGGGTTCAAACGCCTCCGTTTTATAAAGGCTGTGAGTGCGGGAGGCCGGGGCTGGGGACCGGAGCGTTCTGCCCTGAGCCTGCGTTCAGGATCCACAACAGCAGCACCGGGCCTGAGCTGTGGTTTTTAGAAACCTTCCCGAGCGCTACGGCCTCCTTGTGCRCCTGAAGCTGCGCCTTGGGTCTCTCTTTTCTGCACCTTTACCAGTTTGGGCGGAATTTGCCCCAGTTCACCCCCATTGCACATTCCCTGCCTGTGTTTCCCGTTTTCCTGCTGCCTTTGAGGGCAGCGGGGTGAAGGGGAAGTGGAAGGGGAGGCTTTGCGGCAGGGATGCCACTTGCTCCTTCCCTCTGCAGGAGCCTTGTCCGCTCTCCCTGTCCCTTCCCATTCTCTTGGAAGCGAGCAGTGTTACCTCAAAGACGTCTTGCAAGGAGAATTGAATTGCCTTTTTCTTTTTTAATTTCTTTTGCTGCAACTTCAAAAACAYTCCGATTCCTTCTAGCTTTACTCTATCCAATGTTTGTTTCCCCTGCCATCACTATAGAGGTAGGATTCCTAAAATCTGGAGCACAAGAAAGGAGGATGGAGCTGCCTTGCCTGGGGMTTAGGGCTTGGTTTAGCCTGAGCTTGCAGTGAGGCTCTTGCTGGGAACGGGGCACAGTGGCTGGGCTCCACTTGCTCCTGTGGTGCTTTGTCCCCTCCGAGGGTGCAAGGATTTATATTTTGGACTTCCCTCTTTTACTTTTTCAAGTCAACCCGCTCTCCTTTCCCTCCTGCAATCCCCCAGCCTCCTTCTCCCTTGATGCGAGTGGTTTTAAACCCAGGAAACCTGAGCTTGGTGCYGCTGCAGATTTGCCCCACAAAAGCAGGGCTGTATTTACAAGTGTGCAAAGGGCTGAGCCGGGAGAACACGTCCCGTAAGGGCAGGTTCGGGAGCTCTGAGCAGGGGATTCCTGCGCTTTCATTCCCCGGGTCAATCCCTCGGCTGCTTCCAGAGATGCTGCGGGAGGCAGCAAGCAGCTCCCTCACCTCTCGCTTGGTAAATTAATTCTGACCCAGCCGCAAATCACTTGGAGCTGTCAAGGCGAGCCTGGGACRTTGTTGCTTTTTGCAGATCCACACTGTGCAGCCCACCACGGAGCAAATGCCGGGAAGGGGGTGATTTCCACGGGCGGGCGGCGAAGCTGCCGCCTCCCTCCCCTTGTGCAGCGGGAGCGAGGAGCGGGAGGAGGGTGAGGAGAAGGGAGGGCCGGGCGGCGAGCGCGGCAGCGGGGCCGTGAGCGGCGCTTGCTACTGTCAGACAAAGCGCCGCCGCCGCAGCGCCCCGCGCGGGCGCGCGCCCAGGGGCTGCCACTCCGGCCACCGCTCCGGCCACGGCGGGGAAGGAAGGGAGGAAGGGAGGAAGGGAGGAGGGAGGCTGGAGGTGCTGCGCAGCCCCGCGTCCAGCCCCGCGGGGAGCAGCGCGCGCTCGGAGCGCCCGGCGCCAGGACCCCGCGCTCCCCTGGACCACGGCGGCAGCATCCTGCATCCCAGCGCTTCCCAGAGCGTGCCGGGAGCTCCACGTCGTGGATGGCTGTGGGAAGGAGGGCTCGGGCAGTAACAGAACTGAAGACTCAAGGAAAGCAAACTTGATTTTCCCGGTCGTCTTCTCTATTTGCATTTGCCCTTGAAACACAGATGCGTTGAGAAGCCTGCAGAAGTCCTGCGCGTCTCGCATACCAAATTCCCCGAGGCCGGTGAAAAGGAGATCTCTGAACTTTCCGCGTTGTAGCTGAGGTCTCGAGCCCTGCTAGGGGACRGTAACAAGTCTCTGGCCGCCGCTGCTCGGCCTCCAAGTCGGCCTCGCGGCTGCTGCAGGCAGCAGGAGGAGGCTCCTCTCTCAGAGGCTGGAAGGAGGTGCCGGGGCACGCCGGGGACCTGAGGCGCYGCGGGAAGAGCGGCGCGCTTGCATCGGGGCTCCTCTCTATTGTGCTGCGCGTCGCGGGCAGGGAAAACGCCTCCCCCTGYGGCGCCGCTCCCGGCGCCAGCACGGGGCTGGGGAAGATGATGGGAAAGCCGATGGAAGCAGGGAGGCAGCAGCCGGCGGGGCTGAATGCTCCAGCGGGAAGAYGGGTCGGGGAAGACGCCGGGGTCGGGCGCCGCCGTGCGCTCCGGCGCTGCCGTTCCCGCTAGGYGCGAAGTGCCGGCACCCGCTGCTCCTCGTGACCCGCCGGCGAAGAGGACAAAACCCCTGCCATGGTTTGCCTCTTTCAGGACTGCTTGGGGAAAAAAAGTATAAGCCCTTCTCTTCTTCCGCCGCAGCTTGTGCACGTCCTTTGTCCTGCATGGCTTCCCCGACGGCTGCTCCCTCGCCCGGCTTCTGCTGCTGTGCCGGGCGCCCGCCTTGTCGCGGCTGCATGAAGATGCTGCTGCTCCCCGGCCGCGCGGTGCCCCCGGCGCTGCCGACCCGCTGTGCCGGGTAGCGCCTCCGCTGCACGGACCAGAGGACCTGCGAGCGGCTCCGCTGCCTCCGCTCGCACCTGCGACTCCCGCTGGGAATGCGGCGGGGGGGACGCGCGCTGCCCTCCTCCCGCCCCCTCCAATGAGCCTGCGAGYGGATCTGCAGCCCCGCGGGGTTGGGCTTCCTATGTTTGCCTGGCAAGAAAGTCGCCCTGCGAGCCCTGCATGCGGCGCCCGGGACCCGCGGGCGCTTYGCTGCCGTTTGCTCGGGCAACAGGGTCTGCTTTTCTGAGCATTAAGCGGGATCCAAACCTAACACGGAGCCGTAGAAGGTGCTAGTCCCTGCTCAGTGCCACGAGAGGAATTGTCTGCCCGCTGGTTTGCTGTACTCCGAGCACACCATTTTTTGGTTGTTGAGTTTCCTCGCGGTAATGACGATGATGTGGCAGTGCCATCTGTCTTCCTCCGAGTGCCGCTGCTACCGCCTTAACGGGTTTTCCCTTTTCAAGCGTCTGCCGATTCCTCTCTCGTCAGGTTCGCGGATGCTGGAGCAGAGCGTCGGGGAGTGGCTGGAGTCCATCGGCCTGCAGCAGTACGAGAGTAAGCTGCTTTTGAACGGCTTTGATGATGTCCGCTTCCTGGTAAGTTGTGGGCTGGGACACGCATGCTCCACCAGGCGCCCTGGCCAAGCCTGGACTCTSTCCCGAGACCCCGGTGCAGCTGCAGGGCACATCTGGGCTCTGCAGCTTGGCAGGGTGGTCTCGGGGAGGTGCAGGAGAGYAGGGAACGAGGTCTGCCTTGCACTGCTCACCCTCGCGTTTAATTCAGCTGTTAAGTTTTTATGTCAATGTTACAGTGAAAAGCCGTTTACTTTGCCCCCTCTATCTTCAATATGCATTTTGTTCCTGAAATGAGAGCCCAAATTCATTAATGTTTTGAGGAAATTGCTRAGCAGTCTGTGTGCTGGCCCATTCYTGCTAGCTGGAGGAGCGCTGAAAGTTGCTGTCTGMATGTTAATGATCTGTAGCTAATTGTGTTGACACTGATGGCTCTGAAACCTAAYGATGTCTGTGTCCTAATGTTTCTGTTCAGTCTCGAGTTTTTAGTAACCGGGGGCTATATTGAAGCGGCGTGGTATAAAACCAGAGTTCTCCTAAGACAACGAGCCACAAAGCTAAGCCGGTTGTTGGTGGGCGAGGGCTTCCTGCGCGGTTGCTGCGCGAGCCACTGGCACAAGTGGCATTGGTAGGCAGCCCGCTGCGCCCCGGCCGCGCTCGGCAGCGGTTCCAGCGGCACCGCGCGACGCCGGAGCGCCCGGCTGGGCCTCGCAGAGACGCCGGTGCTCCCGCTGCAGACCCGGCTGCGGCAGCGTCCCCCTGCCCGGGGAAGGCAGGAGCTGCGGGCGATTTTCTTGGCTGTGCTTATGGGCACTAAAATAGCCATACTTAGTTGCCAACTGTTTAATGCAGGATTTTCTAAGCTCTGAAATGAGAGAAAAGGTATCGGCTTCCCTGTGCTCTGTGCTCTGTGGTGCCTGAGTTGCTTTCCTGGACTGCTTACGCTGGTTTTGTTCTCCCCATCTTCTGCCAGCCGATTCCCAGTGTGGGAAGTAGCCTGCTGCTGCTTACAGGGAATAGGACACTATCTCCTCATAGTCTTAAAAGGTGAAATAAGTTWAAAAAAGCATTTTCTACCAGCCCTGGCTGCTTTCCTTTCTGCTGCTTATCCCTTTTGCCAATGCGTTCACTTCAGCACTCAAGCTGAGACTGGCTTTAAATCCTGTCATTTGTGTCCTGGGCAATTCCAGCATGGGGGGTTAATGCTCAAAACTTCTCTCTGTGCCTTTTCTTCCCGTCACCTCCTGGCACTGGAGGAGAAGCCTTCAGATGCAGCGCAAAAGTGGAGCGAGCAGTTCAGTTGTTTCTTAATGATGATTTTGATGCTCTCAGATGAATTATTAAATTTGGTGTAGACRTTGCAGCTGGCTGGTGCAGGGAGACCTTAGAGGACCTGGGTGCTYCTCATGGCGCGGGTTGTCCAAGCCTTCTCTCTTGGAGGCAATAAAGAAATTATTAACTGTTACTTTTTAACTGCTAATAAAGACCCTTTCAAGCTAAATTATGCTATTTTTGTGGGGTTAAATAATTTTGCAGAAGGCTTAGTCCTTATTAGGATCTCATGATGTTGTTATTGACATTTTGGGGTCCAAGGAGCTCTGGAGAATGATTTGCAAGTTGGTAGGTGGGCTAGGAGGCCAAAAAAGTAGGAGCGGCAAAAATGAAGAAGTTGGGCTCTTTTACTGCAGAAACATCCCAGTTCCCTGCGTGAGACCTTGCACTGGATGTGCTGCTACAGGAGATGTTTGGGGGATATTCCCTCTGCAGCTTGAAAGGCCAGGTGGGCATTTGTGAGCGGGCAYGAAGCTTGGTGGAAAATTAAGAAAAAACCCCAAACCCAAAAGGCAGGAAAGCCTTGCGGGAGCAGACCGGGATGTGGCACCGTGGCATGTGTGCGGAGCGGCATCCGAGAGGAGCTCGGTAACCTCATACCCCTCCAAAGAGCAGTCAGTCTGTAATAGTGAGTAACATAAGGTACAATTAAAAAGAAAGAGCATATCCTATATCCTGTATCCATGGGGGATATAGCCTGGGGGGATGAGCTGCAGGAGCGCTCGCGAGCAGGACCGTGCCCTGTGTGACCATCCCTCTGTCTGGGCTGTCCTCAGGTTGGACCTTTCTTGRGAAAATCAGGGCAGGAAGGAGCAGCCTCCATGTCAGACGCCGRAGCTGATCCTGGCTCCGGATACGGTTTCTGCAGCTCTGCTGATGGCTGGAGGCCTCCTGCTCCCGAGCTGCTTCATAGATCACTTCTAGTGCTGGAGAACTTCAGCTTCCTGCTGAACTTCAGGTCTCCTTGGTACAGAGCACAAATATGGTCACTGGATGTACTGGGTACCGACCCCCTTGCGCCTGTAGAGTTTTCTCTCTCTGGTACTTCTCTCTGAGGGGAGCTCAGGACAAATGCTAGTACTGCTTTTCATACTGATTGGTTTTGAGGCCATTCCTACTTGAAATTGTCTTGTTTTCAGGGCTCACAGGGACTCCTGCGCTTGTAAGCAGCTTATYGGGGAGAGGAAGCCAAGAAAAGGCATGGGGAGGAGAAGGGAAGCGCACGTGTTAATGCAAGTGCAGCAAAGCGTCATCGTGCCCGGACACGCGGGGCGTCGCGGGAGCCGTGGCAGGGATGGGGGGCAYCCGGGCTGGGTTTGCAGCACTGCCCTCGCGGGGTCCCTCGTGCAGCACTTACCGGGGGTCAATGTTTGTCGTGCTCGGGGTTTCCGTGGGGTGTGTTTCCTGTTCAGTGCTTGCGGTGCGGTCGGGAGGCTGCAGCGGTTGGTGCAGCGCCCGAGAGCATCTCGTGGCACTCGGCGTTCTCAGGAAAACACCAAGTTTATGGCTAGCTCCAAGTAAAGTGTCGTGCTCRAGCGCTGCCTTCAGTACTCGAAGCCATCGCTTGCACAAGGCAGCGGGATTGCTCAAACACAATCTGACGTGATGCTAAAGCCTGCGTGTGTTCCTGGGAAGGGGCTGGAAGTCAACAGTTATTTCAGGTTGTGTCTGGTCGCCTGTCCTGGCTGTGGGGGGAATGGGCTGTGCAAGGCAGACTGAAGTAGGGCCGTTTCCTAAAAGGATGGTTGCTCTTTCCGCATCTGCGCGGCATCCTGGGGCTGTGTTGGTGGAGGAATTCCCACCTTCCCTCTGCGTTCATGCAGTAGCTCCACGGTAGCATTTCTGGGAAAAGGCATTTCCTTGATTTTCCTGCTGTTCCCCCTGGCCTGAGCCACGTGGTCCAAGGGAGCAGCTGCTTTTCCTCATCCTCACCGTTGCCACCGAGTGACCTTCCCTGCTGGCACTGCTGGCTCGGGGCAGTGCAGCTGGGACAGGGACCTGGAATGTGGCTTTAATTGGAAGAGCAGCATCCTCAGGCAGGTGGGGATGAAAAAAGAGGAGAAGGGGGTTGGTGCTTAGGATTCTGCTCAGATCCACAGAGGTTTATCTGTGCAGCAGGGAAACACACCTAGTGACCCAAGAGGATCTCACCAGTTGCAAAACCCAAGCCCAATTGCAAAACCATGATTTCAGAAAAAAATAAATAGCTATCTACATATAAATAGACTTAATTGTTCTTGACCAGTAACTGAAGGAGCTGGAAGACCAGGAAAAATGAGTATGGAGTATTCATTACAAGGACATTTTGCTTTGCAAGTAAGCAGGTGAAAGACAACAACACAAACCAGTTCTTTTTGGTTTCTTTACTTTTTGAGGCCAGTTTCCCATGGAGAGAGCAGAAAGCAACTAATGGTGATTCGATAAGACAGCGTCAGAAATGGAAATCTGTTCTCCTCGTGTAGTGCCAGGGGCTCCTCTGACTTCTTTTTTATAATTGGAGAGAAGTGATAAAAAGAAGAGGGCACTGAAGGAACGGGGTGTCCACAAATAATTTAAGAGTTCTGACAGGAATTGGCCTGAATGCAACTTAATGCCACGGTAGGTTAGCCTGYAGTGCTCTTCATTATAGAGGATCCTTCCTCTTTTCTTGTGTATATGCCTGTGTGAGCAGCGGGAAAACAAAATGTGGAGCGTTGGCCTGAGCTCCACGCTGGCTGGACATCGGCTTTCACCTGATGTCTGCACCGCTCCCGGGCCCCGTCCCGGCACCCTCAGCTGCCAAACGGGAGCTGCGTCTCCCACGTCCGTTTTCCTATGAAACTTGTCGCTTTGCAGCAGTGATTGGGGCAAAGCTCGTGCTGCTTGGCGTCTTGCAGCAGCGTTGCACACAGAGGGGATGTGCGAAGAAGAGGGCTCTCGGGACGTTCTCCGAGTTGTGGCGGATGGAAGCGAGCGGCAGCCGATGCCTCGTCGCGCCGGCAGCCTTCCCTGTGACAACCTTTAATCGGCTTTCAGCATCTCTCCAGCCTGATTCATGCTGCCTGGCACATTTATGACTCGACGTGGCTTTCATTAATTTTTACGACTTAGGTAGGGAGTTCATAAGCCACATTACATAGTATTGTCTACTGTTTTATCGCTGCTGCCAATATACTGGAAATGTCTTTCCTCCTTGGAGTCGCTTGGCCCCCAGGCTGATTTCGATGCCTTGGATGAACACCCCGTAGGAGCGTAATTGAACCCTTGTGCGAGGGCCGCTGCCAAGCGGCTGCGCGGGAATCGATTCCTGCRCCGAAACCCTCTTTTTGGCCGGCTCCCCGACAGGCTTCAAATGCTCCTTGGGTGGTTCGCAAGAACCGCTCTGCCTGCGACGGCTGCGTTTGGGATGGCGGGAGCGGATCCAGCCTGCGACTCTGTGACGTGACAGCTGAGCCACGCAGGGGTTTGGGGCTTGGGAGAGTGTTCCAGCCCCTGGCCCGCAGCTCCCACCAGGGAGACGCGACGGAGCCGCGGCAAAGCTGCTCCGAGGATGGAAAGGAGCTTCGCRGAGAGCAGCGAGTTTGCAGTGGGTTTTGAGGAGCAAAGTGGGTGGACCGGAGCTGGCAGTTTAGAGAATACTTGCATTTGATTCATTAGTAGCTCCGGGCCCAATAAACATTAAGGAGAAGCCATTAAAACAGCAATTAATTTTTTTCTTTCTCTCAATAAAATGGCCTGAATTTGACAACCGTGACCAGTTCCCTCCATTGCCGCTGTTGCACTGCCAGGGCACACAGAGCAGGGGGAAATGAAGCAAAATTGAAGGGGCTGCGTGAAGCGGGGGCCTTCCTCTCCTCCCGCAGCCTCCCACACATCAGAAACTACAGGTGCCCTTAAGGGAAAGCRCGGAGCTCAGAGAGCCCGAGGCCAATTGCAAATGCACCGCTCCTTGCAAATGCACCCAGGTATTCAGTTCTGCCTCCGTTCAAGGCCCTACTTTCTCTGTGCTGCTTTAGTTCCCCTCTCTTTCCTGTAGGAAGAGGTGATTTTCTTGGCCTGCTCCACGCTGTCGCTCTCGTCCTGGGCGGAAGGCAGCTAAGGGCGGCTCTGCGTGAGCAGAGTGCAAACTTGTTCCTAGGACAAGCTGATAAATTAGTCCATTAACGAGGCATTAGCTGCTCTTGTCCTCTTGAGCAAGATGCATTAGCAGGGCTCTTCACTCCAAGCACAAGCCCGTAGAGCCCCGTCAGCAGCAAGCACATGTCACCGTTCCTGGGGCTGCAGGCTTGCTTTGTGGTATATAAATATATATATTTATATATATGTATATATATATATATATTTTAACCCCCCAAAAGCTTGGTGCGTGGTGTTGAGGCCAAGGCAAGCGCTGCATCTCCGTTGCCGAGGTTGGCTCCGTGCTGTCCCCGTTCGAGCAGGGTCTGCGGGGAGGTGGGTGCGTCTCCGACGCACAGCCTTTTCATTGCCAGCAGGAAATGAATAGCAGCGGCAGCGAAATTCTTGACAAGATGCAAATCGCCTTGAATGTACTAATAAGGAGGAGGGGGGGAAGAAAAGGAGCTTTGTGCACATTTAATGGGGGAAAAAAACAGGCTGCAGGGACTTGCAGCTGCCGGGAATCCGCTCTAGATGTTTGTGGAGGCCTTTGTAGTCTAGAGAAACGATGTTTGGGGCTTGCCTCTGTTGCTTTTGATAGCAAAGATGCTCTGGTGCCCGTCGCCCCTCCGACGCACGGGATCTTTAATCCGGCACTGGTGTTCGGGGGGCTTCATGCGGCTGCCGGGCCCCGTTAACCTGCCTTTTGGCTGGAGAGGGCGGCGTGGCCTGGGCTCAAGCTCCCTTTGCCGCGGGCCCTTCCTTGGCCGGGCTCTGCGCAAGAAGCCGCGTCTCCAAATCGGGTAGCCGGGTGCCTGCGGAGCGGCTGGCTGGCACGGGGACGCGGCAGCTTTGGGCAGCGGCGCTTTCGGCAGCGCCTGCTTGGGGCTCACCTGAGCGGCGTCCGGCCTGGGTGACCTTGCACGGTGTCCGGGAGGCCTGGAGGTGCCCGCCCTGCGGAGCAGCGGGGCCGGAGCAGAGCCCGGCCCAAAGTGTCGTCGCCGGCAGCCCAGGAGAGCCCGCGCACCGCTCGCCGTCCTCCTGGCCTGGGGTTGGTCCCAGCTGCCTCGTGCACTGCAAGCACCGTTACAGCTTATCTGGCAATAGGAAGTTTCCAAGGATTTCCTACCAGGAACCCAGCCGGTYCAACACATGCACGCAGCGCCACGGGAACGTGTGCATGGATGGGAGCTGCAGCTGCCGCCCAGATGCAGCGCGGGAAGCGGTGAGCGCCCATTCCTGGCAGGATCAAGGAGCAGCTGCCCCTTCCGCCTGGGAAGAGAGCGGTGCTGGGATGAGTGGRGCCCTTCGGGATGTCCCGTCACTCTGTCACGGGCCCAAGATCCGTGTTGGCCCTGCAGCGACGCGCGAGGTCCAACMACTTGGGGCCCCGCTTGTCGGGGTGCACGGAGGCAGAGCCGCCTCTTCGGAGGGTCRTGTTGTGCCCGTTTGGGGCCGTAATTGGCGTTTCTGAATGTGCCGCTGGAGGCGACGGGCTCACGGAGACCTGGGCTATGAGTCCTTGGGAGCCCTCCTGTCCCCAGCCCGTGAGCCTGGGGACGAGCCCTGCGGAACTGGCGTCTCCTCTGACAAGAGGTTCTTGCTGAACCTCTGCCAGGGCCGAAGGGGAGCACCCTGGGCTGTMGAATAAAGGTAAAGAAATAAAAAGTAGTAAATTCTGCATAGGATGTTGCTAACAAAGAACACCTGAACAGAAGTTTCTCTGAAATTTTGCAGCTCTGCTTCAAGGCGCCTAATAGAAGAGCCCTTTGTAGCAAAGGGGCTTCATTCCATCATAGCAGCGGATGCTTTTCCTGTGTTTTCCTGGGTGCTGCTGGAGGAGGAGGAGGGCGGTCGCCCTGCTGAAGCGGGAGGCTCTGGGGCACGGACGGCTCGAAGCGCCTCAGAGAGCCCCTTCAACATGAGCAGCTCGGCTCTGAGCAGCAGCCGCTCGGCTCTTGGCTTGGCAAAGGTTACGAGATCCCCGGTGCGGGCGAGATTAATTAGCTCTGCAGCAGCAGGTTATTTTTCTCCTGTGAAATGAAGCCTGGCTGGGTTTCAGGGAGCCTCCTTGAAGCAGAGGCTCCTGCGCAACGGAGCAGGSTGGTTTATTCTGCACCGTGTTGTCTGTCCTTGTTATGTGTCCTGAGAGGACAGACTGGCACCGAGGGAATTTAATGTGACACACGAAAATAAGGAGCGCTGGAGGTTCCTCGGGCCGAGGGAGCGGTGGCAGCGCTGGCACCTGCATGCRCAGGGCGCCCGTGTCCCCCCATCCTCACTGCCATGTGCTTCACTCCCGCAGGGCTGCAACGTCATGGAGGAGCAGGACCTGCGGGACATCGGCATCGGCGACGCGCAGCACCGCCGCAAGCTGCTGCAGGCCGCGCGCTCCCTGCCGAAGGTCAGCACCGCGGGCCGGCGCCTCCTTTGCGAGCACGCGTTTTAGGAGCTCGTCCTGCTCCTAAAGGCTCCTGCCTTGYGCGCACCGGAGCCCCGCGGTTCCTCTCGCGGCCGCGCTCGCAGGGAGCTGGTAACCACATGGCAGAGCTGCTGGGGCTCCTGCCCTTTTTCACGCGGTGATTTCTGCATTAAATCAGCTCTAACTGCAGCCACCTGCGGGGTGCTTTGGGTTCACTGTCCCCACAAGCTCCTAACCCCTTCCTGGCTTGTGCTCTTTGCAGCTGAAGCCGCTGGGCTGCGACGGGAACAGCCAGCCGTCGGTGCCCGCGTGGCTCGACTCCCTGGGGCTGCAGGACTACGTTCAGTCCTTCCTCTCGAGCGGCTACAGCTCCATCGACACTGTGAAAAACCTCTGGGAGCTTGAGATAGTGAATGTGAGTACGGAGGAGTGAAAACGGGGCATAGGGAAGCAGTGATGGGGGGAGCTGCCCAGCAGAGGAGGCCCTGGCTGTTCCTCGCAGGGTTAAATGTGCACATTGGGAGTTAGGCAAGGCCCTGACTGCGCTCGGCCCGTTTGCTGTCCCTGCAGGTGCTCAAAGTGAACCTGCTGGGCCATCGGAAGAGGATCATCGCGTCCCTGGCGGACAGGCCCTACGAGGAGCCCCCGGCCAAGCCGCCGCGGTTCTCGCAGCTGCGGGTGAGTGTGGGCCCGGGGTCCGGGATGGGCACCCCGCCTCGGCGCCCGCAGCCCGCTCGGCCTTTCCTGCTACAGGAAATTCTGCCTAGCAGAGTCAATAGAGAAAGGGGGAGAATAAAACCCACAAAGTCAATATTTAAGTTAAAACTCCTTTGAAAGTGAGTATTGAGAGTAACAAAGGCAGAGCGGTCTTTGAAAAGCACATTGCCTTTTTTAAAAGAGGCTGAAACTGAAACAACTCATTTCTGCTAAAAACAAGTCGATTTGCCCTGGAAGCTGAGGTTACTCCAGGCCCTCGGCTGTTCGGGGGTTTGGGAGCAGTTCATGAAGCCCTGAGATGACTGCACACGGAGGTGGGAGCGTTGGGCACTAAGTGATTCCCATGGGCGCATGGATGTGCACGATGCAGAGCCACACATTCCCGCTCTGAACGCAGCCAGGCAGAACTCAGAAATGGAGCAGCCGCGGGGTGGGCATGGGCCTGGCTTGGGTGGGTTTTTGGAATGAACACCCAAATCGGAAAGGCCTCCCGGTGATGGGAAAAGTCTCTCTGTTTCATAGCAGTGACTGAACCAGAGGGCTTGGGCAGAGTAAGGACAAGTGGCCGGTTTCACGTCGCAGTGTACGAGTTCTGCCCCAGCCTAGGCCACACAACTGCAGACACACAATCAAAACCAGGAGTTTTCCAGCTTTCTCTGGTGTGGGTCAAACCCTGTCGTGATGCCCACCGTGCCGAGCAGAGAGCCGAGGCACACGGACACATCCGGGCTGCGCTGGCGGGTGTGGGATGCGACTCCCTGCACCACAGGGAAAAGCAGAGCCCGTTCCCTGCCCGCTGGCTTCTTGGCCAAWTATAACCCAATTTTCCCCCAAGCCACAGTGTGATGTTGCTCAGCTGGTGCGGTCAGATGCAGCTGTGGCCTCCTGTCTTGATCACACGGTTTAGGAGAGTGAAATCTGGCTCCTTGGGCTGGCTCGGCTTTTCCCGAGCTGCTGCTCTCCCTGCAGAAGAGCCCTGGGTAGGATTTRTGAATGTGCATTTTTGTTACAGGAGAGGGAACCTTTGGACATTAGACCCTTTGGTATCGGGTTGGCTGCGAAGGGAGCTGTCACCTTTGTCACTCCTCCTGAATACCTGCATTTGAGAGCTGAGTTGAGTGAAACTTGTTGAGTTTGCAGCTCAGCTCTGAGCTTCGCAGGGCAGCACGCGACAGAGGGGGGACGTATCTGGCTGCTCCTTCATTGCTGTTTGCAGATCAGTTTCCTGGAGCAGGAATTGGGAGGGACCAGAATTTCCCTGTCGCAAACAGCAGTCCTTGCTCTGCTGCCTCCCTCTTCCCTTTTGCCTTGGATCCCAAGGGCTTTTAAAGCAGAACAGCTGGAGCTGAAGCTGGTTGGGCTGCCATGTCCTGTTTGTTTGCATGGGGTTTCTAGGAATCAAGGTCCCACCGGTGCAAAGTGGGTTTGTCCTGGTGTACGCGGCACGTGGGCGCAGGGGCCCACGGGGAGCGCTGTCCATGCCCCTCACCACCATTGAGGCAACAAAAACCCAGCCGGGAAGCGGCCGGACGAGGATCCGAGCTTCTCCCAGGGCTTCCCTGGAGGCTGCCYGGGCTGGAGGCCGGGCCGGGCTGCAGCACCCGCCCATTGAGGTGCTGGGGAGGGCGGCTGGAGAAGCAGAGGGGCCGTTGCTGGCGCGGGCAGCAGAAGGGCGTCGAGGGCAGACGGAGCCGGGCCGCTGACCGGAGCTGACGCTCCCGGCCGCTGCGTGCGCCGCTCRGCGCAGCCGGCACCGCGTCCTTCCCGGCTCGTCCCTCCCAGGCTCCAGCGCCTCCGTGCCGGGCACTGCTGGGACATCCCATGGGGAACGAGGGACTCCAGGTGGCCCTGTACCCTCGTGCTCTTCGCATGGGTGCCGCAGGGGACAGTGGGTTGTCCCATCCGGATGGGCCCCAGGAGAAGTGTTTGCCTTGCTCCCAGAGGGATGCTTTCCAGCTTGGCGCCGGTCCATCCGCTTCCTGGCACCGTGGGCAGCTGTTGGGCAGCAGCTGCTGTTTGAGCACTAACGCAGTGGCCGTGGGATGTGCCCAGCACAGGCCATTGAGTTAAYGAGCTGTGTCGGTGCCCAGTCCCGCAGCGGAAGGGTCGGGGCAGCGGCTGAGGGGGCGCAGGCGGCACGAGGAGGAGCGCGGTGAGAGGAAGCAGCAGACGGGGCCGGGGCACCTGCTGACCAGGGCGGTTCTTGGGATCTGCCCCTTGCAGTGCCAAGATCTGATGTCCCAGACGTCGTCACCTCTGAGCCAGAACGACTCCTGCACGGGCCGATCTGCTGACCTGCTGCTGCCGTGCGGGGACACTGCCAAGAGGCAACACGACCGTGGCACCGACGTTGCCGCCTACCCCCGAGCCGAGCGCTACAAACTGCAGGTCAGTGCACGCTTGGAACGCTGCACCCTGTGGGCGTCTCTGCCCGGGTCGCTGCAGGATCGTCCCCTGCACGGGTGGCAGGGAGTCCGGGTGGTGCATGGGGGCCGTTGGGGCCCCGTTCCCTGTGCCCTCGCTGGCTCCAACGGCACTTTCATGCCTCAGTGAAAAGAGGCCGTTCACAGCTCCGTTACCACTGGCACTGTCACCCTTGGGGCGCTGCCTCCTCCCAGCCCCTGGGAGGTTTGGTCGCTGCAAACAGGAATTGCGTTGGCCCGAAGAGCCCTCCCGGGCTCMGTGCTCCAGCCCGGCTGTGGCTTCACGCCCGTGTTTCGTCCCTCGCAGGAGGATCGGCGCGAGTCCAAGCTGACGCTGCGGCCGCCCAGCCTGGCTGCCCCCTACGCGCCGGTGCAAAGCTGGCAGCACCAGCCTGAGAAGCTCATCTTCGAGTCCTGCGGGTACGAGGCCAACGTAAGTGGCTTTGGGAGAAGCCTTGGGASTTGGGCTGGTGCCCGTAGAGGCGTCACGCTTCTTTTCTCACATCCTGGGTTACCCGTATTGCTTTGGGATTGGGAAGACTTCCAGGTGCTAACACATGTTAACATCTCCCCCTCTTCCAAACAGTACTTGGGCTCCATGTTGATCAAAGATCTCCGAGGGACAGAGTCTACGCAGGATGCCTGTGCCAAGATGAGGGTACTTCCATAGGGACGAGGGGGATTCACTCACAGCCTGTGATGGGTGGTGTAGAGGGGGGTCCTGGTGTAGGCACAGTTTCACAAACCCTGAATGTTCTTGTTTCCACAGAAATCCACAGAACATATGAAGAAGATCCCAACCATCATACTGTCCATCACGTACAAGGGGGTGAAGTTCATTGATGCTTCTAACAAGGTGAGCTTAAAATGCCTCCAAGTCCTGTCCTACCAGCTGCAGGACTCATCTGCTCCTACAGAGCTGCCAAGGCCATGGGAGAGCACCAGGGTGGGATGGTTGCCCGTGTGCCAAAGGTTGGGCCAGCCAGCTGTGTTGCTGTTCATTCCTGCTATGGGAGAGGGCTGAGACTGCTCTGGCTGAGAGCCCCCGTTCCTGTCAGGATCCATTTTCCTCCCTGCCCCATATGCGTTGGCTGCAGCTCCCGATCGCCGGGTGTCCTTGACGTCCCCTGAAGGGTGATGGGTTCTTGTGGTTGCCTCTGGCAGAACGTCATCGCTGAGCACGAGATCCGCAACATCTCCTGCGCTGCTCAGGACCCCGAGGATCTCTGCACGTTTGCCTACATCACCAAGGACCTGCAGACCAGCCACCACTACTGCCACGTCTTCAGCACTGTGGACGTGGTGAGTGGGCTGGAACGTGCACAGAGGTGGAGCTCAGGTGGCTTGTCCTGCTCACACTGTTTTCCTGGCCTGGCCTGGTGTATAAATCATGGAGGTGCTTCCCAGAGACACGTAGAGGACAAAGAGCACGGTAGCAGGATGGGTTCACTCCCATTCACCAGGGTTTGGAGCTCRAACACCCCACTTCAGGGCATCCCCCAGCATGCTGCAGGAAGAGGGGCTGCCATGCAAGTTGCAGAGTCCCTTGTGGGTGTGAAAGCTTGAGCCCCTCGGATGGGAAACGCCTGCTAGGTGTGAATCTACTGTGCGCCATCAGGCACTGGTGAGAGCTGGTGATGCCAAATTATCTTGGCACATCCGTTCCCCYTTTGTCACCCAGCTTTAGTGTGGTGAGTCATAGAAACATACATGGTCTGTTCTAGGACTCTTTCACCTATTTATGCTCTAAAATATTCCTCTCGAAGGCCTGGCTTAAAACACTTTTCATTTTGCAGCTCCGTCGGCAGAGAATATTTGTCTGCCTTCATTAGTGCAGCTTCCACTACTGAACAAAGCAGGATGAGAGCTTTTCCCTCTCGGGGAATAAGCCATGAACAAAACCCTAATACGCTCTCAATTATGCGCAGTGTAATAGGCCAATTTAACAGCCTTTTAATTCGCTGACTGTGTGGCAGCATAACTGCCTCTTATTCTGGGGCAGAAACAGCTGTGCAAAACGCTTGGCCTCTTTCTCTCCGCCRTGCAAAGTGCTGTTGAACTGCAGTGCCGAAGGGGAGGCGATGGGCGCGCAGGTGGTTCTGCATTTCCGCGGGCTGGAGCTCAGCACTGCCCACGGCACCCGCCGCAGCGAGGTGCGGGGATCCCACCCAAGCCCATCTCCTGCTACGGAGCTACCATGCAGCTTAACGTGCTGCTAACAGCTCCGTCTTCTGTGGTCTCTCCAAGAACCTGACCTACGAGATCATCCTGACGCTGGGGCAGGCGTTTGAGGTCGCCTACCAGCTGGCCCTGCAAGCCCAGAGGGCGAAGCCTCCGGGGGCTGCAGTGGGAGAAACGATCGAAACGAAATCTTCCAAACCGGTGCCTAAGCCACGAGCCGGCGTGAGGAAATCCGCAGTACGTACGCACGGGACCACGGCTGCGGGGCCGCTTGCTGCACGCTCGGGGTTGGGATTTGGACCCGCTCCCGCAGCACAGGATGCTTAAACCACCTCCCTCTTGGCGCTGGGGGTGCATGAGGTGCCCGTAGCTTCGGGACTGCTGCACTGGGATCCGTGCAGCCTCCGTGTGAGCGGAGGTGGCAGCAGGACGGGGTGGGGGTCACAGGCCGGGTGCAGCGAGCGGCCTGCGGCAGGGCTTGCTGCYGAGCGCCCGCCCGCCGTTAACGTCGCCTTTGTCTGTGTTGTGCTTGCTCAGGTGCCGCTCCCTCCCGACACGCGCTGTCACTGTCACACGTGTACTACTCACCGCCCCTCCTACCTGCCGCTGCAGTCTCTTAGCCCCGGAGCCAAGGTCTTTACCCTCTTGCTCTCCTCCCGCCTTGCCTGCCTCCCCGCTCCGCTCCCCTGTCCCGCCGTGCGTCCCCTCCCCGCTCCACGCAGGGCTCGGCCATCCCCAGCACTCGCAGCAGCCCCGGCTAACACGAGCTCGGCTGCCTGTGGTAGAGAACCTCCCTGCAGGATCCTGATTTAGGAGGACAAGAGGAGAGAAGCTCACGTGGTCAGGAGCGTAAATCCCGAGGGATCTCACCTGCCAGGAGCTGTCTCCTCTCTCCCTCTGCCTTTGCTCATGGTGTCATCTCTGTAGTGCCGAATCTTTCATGCTCGCTTGTGAAGTGAAGCGGAGCTGTCGCTCCCGGTGATTCAGAGGCTTTAGGACATCAAGGGCTGAGATCTGCATGGCTGGAAGCCTTTGAGCTGTGCAGGACTCAAACCACTCCCCAGCGAGAGCTGCTTCGGCCCCAACGTGCCCCTTTTGGGGATGGGAGCAGCCTCTCCGTCCCGTGCCGAGTGCTTTAGTACTTGCTCTGCCATGTCCTGGAAGTGCATGTGGTCTAACGTGGGTTTTTCCTCTTTACTCTCTAGCTGGAGCCCTCTGAAGTGGACCAAGACTCCCAGTCTCATGCCAGCGTCTCCTGGGTTGTGGACCCCAAACAGGACTCCAAGCGGACCCTCAGCACTAAGTATGAGACCACTATCTTCTAAAGCAAACAAAACCCTGTGTCCACCTAGTCTAACCGTGCCTTTGCGATCTGATCTGTCTGCTGTTCTAAACTCCCTCTTCCTCCAGCTGCTCGCACTGAGCCCCACGTAGGCACTGCGGCCAAGGCAGCAGCACTTAGGAGACTGTAGACTTAAAACGGCTTTTTGTACCTGATCACTGCTGAACACTGTGAATTCTCCTTACTCGGAAACATGGGTAACGCTGATAGCTGCCTGTGAGGCGGGAGGTGCAGAGGGCTGCGGGCTGCGGGAGTCAGCTCTGGAGCCGGGAAGCCGCCTGCCGTTTCCACGTCTTTCCCCTCGCTCTGGCACTGTGAATCTCTGGGGCAACGTGATGCTCCCCAGGCCTTTTTTTTTTTTTCCCCTCCCTCCTCTTTCACCCTCTTGTCCTCGGACTGATGGAGACCTCGTGTCTCTCGGTGCACGCGCTGCCTCCGAGATGCTGTGCTCCCCGACTGAGGCCCGGCCGCGCGCTGCTCCAGCAAACTCGCCCCTCTGCCCGTCACTCCAGTCGGCACTAACCACTGTGATACCGCCTGCAAATAACACGGTGCCAGGCGTCCCGGCGGGGACCCTGCCCGCAGCCTCCCTCCTGCAAGCGGAAGACCTGGCTCTGCGCTCCCATGGGAGCGCGGGGTCGGGCCGCATGCGCTCGCTCCCACCGGGCACCCGGAGCCTTCCCGGAGAGCAGGAGCGGGGCCCTCGGGGCAGCGGAGGCTTTTCAGCTGTCTGCATCTCAGTCCCTTGTAGCCTTTGCCCCCTAGACTTTGTGTTTACACCCCCCAGCGTCTCGTGAGCTGTGGGCACAGTTCTCCTTTTCCAGACTGCCAAGGGGCTAAGCTTTTAAGGGCACATGTTGTTAGCACTGGGTGAGGAAGGAGAGGGGCCTTGGGAGGGCTGGACACTGTACTGGGGACTCTGATAGAGGCTCAGCGGGTCCACCTCATTCTGACCTTTTTGCCCAAGGGAGAAATGGATTGAAATTGGTTTGCTGCTGATGCCAAGGCTTGTTTTGTACAAACTGTTGCACAATGAAGGATCATGAAGGGATCTTGAAACATCAGTCGCCTTCCGTCCCAGAAGGCGAGGGCTTCGCTTGGAGGCGGCCCTGTATCGGTGGCACCTCCGTCTCTGCTTCTGCCCCTGTTTCCAAGCGCAGGGCCGAGAGCAGAGCCGGGCCGAGCTCGCAGGCGAGCCGKGAGGCTGAGCCCGCTGCTTCGCTCGCGTTTGCAGAGCCCAGCGACACGGAGCTGGGGGAGGAGGACGAGCCCGCGGGCAACTCGCTGATCTGCAGCGAGGCCGCGTGACTTGGCCGCTCTTTACCTCGGTTTCCCCATTTACAGGATGGGGACAAAACTAAAACTTAACCTACCTCACAGGGGGTGTGAGGCTTCCTTGGCATGTGGAGCTCCTCGAAGACCCTCTAGCGAGATGGGGGCACCTGATGTTTCAAGATCTTTATTTAGCTCTTCCTTGGGAAGGAGCCTGGCCTCTGCAGTCAGAGCAAACCGGCTTCAGGCCAAGAGCCCGGCTAGGAGGAAGCCGAGTGGAAGGACCCGAAGGACTCTCTTAAAGCACAAAGAGCAGAGCAGTTTTGTACATACATTGCACATGCAATGGAGCCCCKTAGCAGGCCCAAAGGTGCCGCTCGTGCTGGAGCACTGTAGGTTTGAGGTGCTCAGAGATGGGGCCTGGGTTTCACCTACTGGCTTAGCATCTTTCCAGGTGCCCGTGTGTCCTGAGGGGGCTGCCCGCCCTTCAGAGGGAGCCTGCGCTGGTGATAACAACGCAGYAGCTTCTGCTCGCAGGCACCCACCCCGCCGCTGCCCGCGCCGCCCCTGCTCTCGGCGCCGCGGACATCCTGCAGCTCCTGCTCAGCGGGAGCAGCGGCTTCCTCGGCACCTCTCCGCAGCAGTCCCCAAAGCATGTGCCTTCCTCGGGGTGACCGTCCTCGGCGCTGGCACCACGGGCGCTCCTGCCGCAGCCGCAAAGCTCCCGCCGCCTCCCCAGCGCTCCCGGCTTCGTCTCCTCCCCGGCTCGCCTGCTCCGGCGCTTCTTGTTGTGCGACTCCTAAGTCATTCACTCCATTATCTCCCTTTCTGTTTGCCTCTGCAAAGCTGATCTCCAGGCAGCTGCCTCCTGCCACGGAAATGTAGTAACGCGGGGCAGAGACCCAAGGAGCAGCGGCCTGCGGACATGAAGAGCGTCTCCAGCCGGCCCTGCTGTCTGCACGGCTGCTCAGTGAGGGCTTCCAAAGCAGAGGGGGGACGGGATCCGGCCGGCAGCMGAGCAAAGCAGCTCTCCATTCCTAGCGGAGGAAAGCTGAGTCTTCCGAGGCCGGGAGCCGTTGGCATGTTCTCTAGGTTGAGACAAACTTCTTGCAAASCAGTTATTTTCATTCTTTTTACCTGCAAAATGATACAGAGCAAAACACATTCACAGTTAAAATGTAGCATTGGGGTGAGGGAAAATCCTTCTTTTTGGAGAAGTCACAGAGTGCCGTCGGTCCGGCGAGGAGTTTGGGAGGAGGGCTTGGCAGCGGGAGCGATGTGTGCGTCTCTAACGGTACTTAAATTGCTTCGGTTCTGGGTGAACAGCAGAGAACACCAATTTCTTGGCAATAACTTCCTTCAGGGTGACAAGTTTTCCAAGGGGAGGCTGCACCCTGGGAGGCTGCATCCTGGGGTTTTTTTCCAAAGCTGCTCCAAGCTTCTGTAGCCTGTGGAAATAACTTAGGGAGAACAGTCTGCAAAGGATCTTCCACCCCAGAGTGGTTATGGCCAAGTATTACTGATGGTACAAAGTTTGCTTTCCCTGCAGGGAGCTGGTGCATTGCAATACTTGACATTTCTATGGCAAGGACACAATTTTTTCTCCCACTTCTGCACTGAATCCCTGGAGATTCTCCAGCCTCTTGTGCACCTGTCATATTTTTAAATGCAGTTATGCCCTGAAGAGGTATGTGGAGGAGGGGGGCTACGTTTATTCATTTGTGATTTAGCACTTTTTTGATACTAGCTCATTATTGAAGTAGTGCAGCCGTTTGGGAAGATGAACAAATGAGGAGTCAGCTGCTGGGCTTTGCAGTGAAACAGGCCCTTCCTGCGGATAAATCCAATCAGCCAAAGGATGGCTTGGCCCCAGTCAAAGTCCTCTGTCCCCAAATGCCACCATCTTCAAGGTGCTGTGTACTTACTTCTTTTGAATTTGARTATGTAACAGTAGTTTTGGCTGATGAACTGATGTGTTTCCACAGTACTGTTTCCCTTGCGGGAGGGATGCTGAAATGGGATTTTTAGTTCCTGGGATGCAGAAATGTAGCGCAGCGCACGTGCTGTGATCCCGACAGGCCTCGCAACGGCCGCGGATGTGCGACCCGGCTGCTTCCCTGGGATGCTATGCCCTAATAATTTCTGTTTAACTCCATTTGCTGCTGTATTTCAGGATTTCGTTTAGTCTCTCTAGTCTGTAAGACTGAGAGAGCAGTGAACCATGATCCCAGGGGCATAGATCTATAAATGATTAGGAGGGAGACATGGCGATTTTTTTTTTTTTTTTGATTTGATGAATTTAGGAAACCTAACATTCCTTGTTATGCATATGTTGCATTCATGCTGGTGTAAGTGTAAATATTTGATGTGTTGGCAACAAGTCTTTATGGAGAGATTGCAAATTGAACCTCTGCTTGGGAGGAGGGACACCGTCCTAGTTTTGCTGCATGAGCTTCTGCAGGTTGGCTTGGAGGTGACATGGTGATGAAGACTCCAATCTTCAAGGGACTGGATGTGGTGACCCTGGTGGTCCTTTCTAGCCCTGTGTATAAATCTGATGGTTGTCTTTAGTGATCCAACAGTTCTTTAGCCAGGTATTCTCCTTCTCACTGCATAGGCAAAGCAATTATTTTGGCAGTGCATCTTGCCCTTCATTTCGGTGGGTTCTTTTAAGGTACTTGCGTGCTGGTGACTGATCCTGGACCATGCCCATTCCTGACTTGCAGTAATTTGGTAACCTGTCCATTACGCAGTATTCAGGCTCTTCCTCCTTACAGGGTTTCATGGTATCTGGAGGAAAGTGCCCTAAATTTCTGGTGCTGAATATGGCTTTGCTTCAAAATGCATTTGCTTCACTACTTGCCTGTGAGAAGGTGGTACTCTCCTGAGTTTCATTCCCCTTTTCCAGAACAGATTGTGTTTTAGAAACTTCCATTTGCACGTGGCATGAGTCCAGGCTGGGAGCTCAAGACAGATAAACTAAGATGCATAGTTGCTTGTCTTTTTTAAATACAGAAGGGGATGATTTGCTTTTTTTTTTTTTTTTTTTTGCTTTTTTTCTTTCAAATGAAAGCTGCTTTATACTTATTAATTTTGTATTTACAAAAGAAAAATGCTGTTCTTAGCTGTTCAGCTGTTTTTGAACTTGCTTTGGGCTCTTTTTTTCTTATTAGAAAAAAAAAAAGGATGTAATTTGTGGGGTACATCCCTGTGCCCCTTCTAGGGAGAAGGACAGGGCACCCTCTGGGATGTACCTGTCCTGAGAAGTTCATACCTTCCTAGGGCTGCTGTGAGACACGGACCAGATGCCAAATATTCCTCCAGTTCCCTGTAGAGCTGAAGTGGATTCAGTTACTTTAAGGCTCCTTGCATCCCACTTTGGCAATTTCTAGCAGCAGAATTTTCCCCGGCTTTCTCGTGCTCGCATCATTTCCATGCAGACAGGTCTTTCTTTTAGAGCAAGCACAGTGTTTGCAATGCTGTAGCATTGCAAAAAAAAAAAACAAAAAAAACCCCTCCCTTTTAGACCTCACATTGGCATTATTTACTGCATTTTTTGAAAGGAAGTAAACGTGCTGCTTTTTTTAAATGTAGATCTAGTGTGAACATTTTTCATACCCTTGGAAGAAAAACCTGAGATTCCCCAACAGGGCAAAGAACAGTCCAGTTCAGTTTGCAATGTAGACATTTTTGCTAATTGTGATGTATGGCAGTGGGACTGATTTGTAATACAAATGTTATTTAATCTGTCTGTATTTTGATACTTGAATTTTCTTTTATTTCCTGTATATACAATTGTTAATCTGTTCAAAATTGTCTGAATTTTAAACATCTTGTGGTACCAAACATAACCAATCTGTGCAACAACATAGACTGACCTCACTACAACAAGGCGAGATTGTAAATATTCCTGGGCTTCCAGCAGTCGTTTTGTTGTTTCCATAATTGTACAACTTAGAACAGACTGAATTAATAAACAACCTTAGAGACACGCTCGCTCCGCTGTCACTGTGACTGCAGCGCCGCTCCGGAGCCTCCTGCCCGTCCGCCTGGCAGCGCCGCTGCTCGTGCTGCCGTCGCAGACGTGGCCGTGCTGCACACGCAGGTAAGAGGAGGGCACAGCGGCTTCCTCGTGCCTCCTTGGTTCGGTCCGGCCCCGTCTGCACTTTGCTTGTGTCGTCCATCTGAGGAACAAGAAAACCTCGGTTATGGCAGAGCCTTGTAAGGAGAGGACCTGTTGCCCCTCAGGAGCAGGCTGGAAAACGCTGCTCTGCTGGGAGCGGTTTAATTCTTTGGCAGCAGCAGCAGGACTTTGTCGTCCCCAAGTACCCGGGTGGTTAGAGTAGCTTGGGGGGAATGTTGCTTTTGCAGCAAGTCCTGTTAACCCAAGATACTCAATATGACATTTTGGAGCTGTTGAAATAATCAATTAAAATGCATCCAAGTGTTGTGCTGAAGGTGTTTACTTGTAACAYGAGAGTCTCCAGCTTCTTTGTACGTCTTTTCTAGATGAGCGTGAGGAAAACTAGCTTTCCCTCGCAGTAATTGCCTTCAGAGACTGGCCCCGTGGAGGTGCTACTCACCAATAACACTTCTCTGCAGTAGGACAGCAACTAAATAATGCAACAACGGTAAATTGGGGCAGACATTATGTAGTATTTACCCTGCAGAGATTTTTGACATGCCAGAAAATGGGACGTGTTCCTTATGTAAAATAAGGCTTAGAAAGCGAGATATTTAAATACAGGTTAAAGTTCAGATTTGTGTGTCAAGTAAAAGCTGCCTCATATAAAATATTAAAGGCAGCAAGGACTGCTAGATTTATACCATATGTGCCTTTTCTGATAATTTAGTTAGGCTCTTTTTTAAGCTAATGTTGAAAGATATTGCGTAATTTTAATGATCTTAAATACCATCTGGCTTTATAAAATCCAAACAGGGTTCCTGGGCTGTGACTAACAAGTTTTCAGCAAAGTAGGGTAAAGGCCCCCAGTAGAATTAACACCTTAGATTTAAAAAACAACAAAAAATAGAGTCAAAACCTGCCTAAGCAGCAACTTAATCTCCCCCTGCCTTCCTTGCCAGTGAGATGAGTCGCATCAAAGAGCAGGTTTTGTGGTTATAAAAAAAAAAAGCCATCGCTTTTTGCAGTTGAAAGGTTTATTCAGATACATAAGTGCCAACTGCCAATGCCAAGAGCCATTTCCTCGTAGCGCCGCCAGCCCAGCTGTGTTTACTTCCAGTTGCTTTTTACAAGCTAAAGCATGATTTGAGAAACTGCCGGAGAGTCTGTTCCACCCCTGCCCTCCTGAGCGATATGAAGCAAGATGATCAGGAGTCTCTTGCAGCGTGTGGTTCTGGGAGAAGCACTTTCTTGAGGATTTCTGAGTAGTAAGGTGCAAACACCTGTCTGTTGTGGTGGACCACAGTTCCAAACCTGCGTCCGACGGCCAGCAACTCTTCTTGAATGGCTTCGAGGCCCTTTGGGAGGTCCTTGGGAGAGTTCTGTCCGTTAGGGGAAATAAAGAGGCTGAGGAATGAATGAATCCGCTGCTCTGCAGAGAGGAAGAGCATAAGGACAAGAAAATCAACCTCAGCATGGAAAGAGCGTGGCAAGACGAGGGCTTCTCGTGCCGGCACCAGCAGACGCGTGGGCGGCTGCCTTGGCACGGGCAGGAGGGCTCAGGATGTGCTATTTGGGAAAGAAACTTCCAGATACCCCCACTAAGTAGGTTTAACAGCATCCAGGGACCAAGGTGAAACTACGTGATGCTAGCAGAGTACTGGAGCAAAATACCACGTTTTATTGTCTCCTCATTGCTGCTTTTCTCGGGTAGGTGCTTGTAGCAAGGGCTGAGATTGGGTTGATGGATATATGGCCTTTTTTATGTTACAATGGAGCAGTTCAGCAATATGGACTTCTAATTCTGAAGAGTTTTGGTACTGTATTCAAGCACCAGGCATCCTTAAAAGCAAAATGGAATACGGAATTTCAGAGCCTAGGATTTATTTAGCCTGCTAGAGCAGCATTTCAAAATTGGAAGTGTTCAGGAAGGATCACGTAACAGCAATACAGCAGCATCTGAGGCAGCTGGCAGTTGAATGTGAAGTATCTGTATGAAAATGCTGACAGCGACCAGCAGCGCAGACAAGGCTCGGAGGGAATCGCAGATGCAGAGGGGGGAAGACTGTCTAGTCCCACCTCTTCTTTTTGAAGCCACATCACCTGCTGCCCAGCCTGCCCTACATTGGCACTCAGTTTGGCTATGACTTCAGCCTCAYAAATGCCATCAAAATAAAAAGAGCCTCTTCTGACATGGAAAGAATAAAGCCAACTAAAGAAGGGCACGAAGTCCACACTGATGGGAAGGACACTTAACTAAATGGAATATTGAGCAGGTAAAGCCTCACCCTGATTTTATAGCTGCTAAAAGCAAGTCTTCCATGTGGAAATAATCCTGCCAGGAGCTGCCCGTGGCACAGCAATCCACATGGAGTTAAGTGTTCGCAGAACTAATAAAAGGTCAAAATAATCAGCTCTTATCCAAACCATTTGAATAAATATTTTGATGGAGCAGCACTGCAGGGCAGCTGCTTAGCTCAATACCAGGCAGTGCACTCCCTAGGGATAAATATTATTTAGAGTTCTTAGCATGGTACTTTACTAGGCCTAGTGATTAATCTCTCAGTCTAGTTTGAAGATTGCAACACTGCCTAATACCCAGCCTTGCACTTGGGCCTGTTTAGCTTTCAGCAAGGATGGGAGGATTTAAGAGACTTCCAAAGCCATTACTTTTGGGAAGCATTTGGCAGAGGAGCAGGAAAACTTGGGCGGTTTCTGAGCCAGGGGTTGTTGCCCTCCTCTCCTGTGCAGACCGGGCAGACAGGCCCGTTTTGCTCAACGCAGGCAGCGGGTGATGCCAGCAGCTGTCCTGGCTGCTCCAGAGTCACTGGGCTAAAGCTAAGGCAGGGCCTGAGAGTGCAAATATGGCCCTCCTTCAAGGCAAAGCAGCCGAGCGAGGCGCAGGCTCGGAGACTCACCGACCACCCTCCGCACTGCGTTGTCCTCGTCCGCGATGCTGCAGATCTGGCCCTTCAGGGAGGCGCGTTGGTCTGCGGTGAGCGCGGGATACCCCAGCTGGGACAGCGTCCTGCCGACCTCCTGCAGCACTTGATCGCCGACGTCGTGCAGGGCCTCCTCACACCTGCATCATGCAAGGGCACAAGGYGCTGCAGCCGCTGCGCAGCGCGGCGCAGGGGCCTCGCAGGCACACAGCAAGGGGAGAGGCCTCTCCCGCTGTGTTTGAGGGCACTGTCATTGCAGCCATTAGCACAGGACGGGGTTCAGCCGTTCTGGTGCCCACTGCAAGTGAACTAAGATTCCCTTCCCCTGCTCAAGAAGCTGCCTGGGGCTGTGAAATAGGAACCAGCACCACYAATTTCCCTTTAACCAAGAAGGGACTGTTGCTAGAACACACGCTGGCTGCCTTGCCCTACTCCTGGCAGTAAACCTGGCTGCTATTTGGATCTTGGATCCTCTTCCACTCCCAGGGGAGRATTCTTGCTGCTCATCCCACAACCAACCAGTGCCTGCAGACTCACTCATCTCCCTCTGGAAAACTGAAAATAACCCACCTGGTAGAAGAGAGCCCTTCCAGGAGGACCTTTGTTACCCGTTTCAGCCTAGCTCCAAACCCAGGTGAACCAAACAAGGTGCTTCCACACGTGCMACTGGTCACTAGCAGCACTGCAGCTACGATGACGAGCTGGTTCACCTGCGACCGCACTTCCTGCAGGCGGGCCTGGTCCATGAAGAGCGTCTGTGAAGGAAGGGGAACCGCATGAGCCTCTTGCGGGTGCAGAGGGCAGCAGCTCAGCAGCCCTGCAGCAGGCTGGGAGCGGGAGCACAACGCCTGCCAACAGGTAGGATTCGCTCGGCGAGAAGTGCCAGGTTTTCTCCTACCTCGGGGTATTCCCTGTGGGCAGGCGCCCAGCGGAGCAGGTTCATGTAGGCTCGGTCCAGCACCGCCGCAGGGCTGGGCTCAGCGCTGCCGCCYGCTCCCCGCGGGGCCGCGGCCGCCTCTGCTGCCGCCCTGCGCAGCCACTGCGCTGTGTGCTCCAGGCTGCCTGCAACACAACAGGATGCTCCAAGGTGAGACCGGGCAGGTGAGAAGTGGCCGTGCCCTCCTACAGGCAGTTGTGTCCCGGAGGCTAAGGCATTGCGTGGCTCCTGGAGCGGTGAGGAGTCACTTACAATATCACCAGAGTACAAAATAAATGTGTAGCTGCCAAAGCACAGCGTTGGGCTAGTGCAATCAGCCTCCGGAGAGCTGTATATCGAGTAAAGCATTTCAGGCTCCAMCAGGCACCTTTAACGAAGTCCTGGGAGGGATAAAGGCAGCCAGAGAGAAATATTCTAGAGTCTAGTGAGGGAGAGATGTCTACATCAAATGCAAACTTTCCTCTTTAAACATGGCTGCTAATAACATTTTGCTCATTCCTCTAAGGATCTCAAAACGCTTTTAACTTACAAGATCTTACAGCTTCTTGTGGGATGGCTATTAGCTCTGCCTTAATTAGGGAGAAACTGAAGCACAATAAATAATTTCTTTTATGCAAGGTGTGTCAGTGAGGAGGCTGAGAAAGTGACCCAGGAGCCCTCTATTTTTCTGAGGTAATTTTCTCATCTATTACTACAAGTAAGCATGGGTGAAAACATCAGCTCTGAAATATTTGAGTCCCCTTCCAGTGTATTTAGCAGCTCCTGTAAGAATGCAAAGTGTTGAACCAACTTCTCTCACTTCCCTGCAGACTTACTAGGCAGCTTATCTAAGAGCTCCTGGAATTTCTTTCGTTCATACTGGACCGAGTGCTCCTGCAAGTGGGGCCGGAGGCTTTGGATGGTAAAATTCAACATATCCATTTTCATGAGGTCCAACACTCGGAAAATTTCCCTGGGATGAAACACAGTGAACTGAAATTTTTATCTAGTTGTAAGTGCCATGATTAGGGTCATTTGAAAATGTAGAGAAAGGGGAATTCAGAGAGGAGAAGTTGGATTTTATTCTGTTTTCTGACAAAATGTTGTTAGGTCTAGTTGAGCGTGTGGTCCCTAAAAATTACTAGAAAATCATCTTCATAAAAGGGCCCTGGGCAGCRTTCCAAGGCAGAATTTTCTCCAGGCCCAAGGCTGTGCTGGTTTCTGCAGGGCCAGGGCTGGCCCTCGCCCACCTGAGGAGCTGCACCGGATCCGAGAGGCCGCGCAGCGCCCGCACGTCGTCGTCGCGCAGAGGCGCGCACAGCGCGGCCATGGTGCCCAGCACGCGTGCCGAGAGGCGCCCCACGTCCAGCGCCCCGTGTGCCGCCTCCTGCCGGATCAGCTCCATGTCCAGAGCGGCTTCAATCTCGCTGCGCAGCCGGTTGTGCCGGGGCAGCAGCAGCGACAGCAGAGCCTGCCCAGAGAGAAGCAGCTCCTGTTGTTCAAGGGACTCCGCTCTTTCCCAGAGCGTCTCAATGGGAATCAAGCCTGTTGCTCTGCTGAGCATAAGGTAACTACCACGTACACAAACTCGGGGCGCACGAGGGCTTTAAGGGGGTGCTTGTCTCAGTGACTCACATCAGGATCCCTGGCTCCTATTTCACGTATTGCAAAACCTCTCTTACAGGAAAGGAGGGAACTGTCTGCAGTCTAAAGGGCAAGTGTGGACTGAAAAAGCAAACCCCCTGCAGCTCCATGCTTTGCTGGGGACATGGGTGTATTTTGGTGCCAAACAGTTTTATTCACTGCATTGCAKGCTTGTTTATTAGAGACAGCTCCTCATATATCCAAAGGTGGTGTCCTATACAGACAAAGTGTATTTTTTGTTTGGCAGACGCTATGTCTGGAAGGGTTACCATAAATGACAGTTTAAACAGTCTTTCCACTGTTTTGGAGAATATGTGTTTGAAAGACCTAGGGAGAGGGAATGAGTTTCCTCCTTGGACAGCTTCTAGGAGGTGCAGTTTTGTAACTTGTATCGCCCTATAAAACCTATTTTCTCATCCCTCTTACCCATGTTCATGAGGGAATACCTGGATGCCAGAGGTGAAGGGATAACAGGCAGTAAGGCTGGGGTTCAGAGCTCACCTCCTTTATCTCCTGCAGCAGCTGGATGGCCTGASTGTAGTCTGGGGGACTAGCAGAGAGCTGCTCCTTCAGCCTGTCCCAGAAGGCTCTGTGCAGTGTCTCCTTCACTCTGTTTTCCAGGCTAAAAAGACAGTATTTGTTCAAGCAAGCTCCTATTTTCTTGTCCCTTGAGCAGTGAGGGCCAAACCCCGCTCCCTTCCCCGCTCCAGGCCGCTTCCCGCGTGGCGACGGCAGGGAGGCCGCCCCGGCTCGCGGGTACCTGTTTGGGGCGAGGGTGCCGGCTGGCAGCTGGAAGTCCCGGTTGAGCACGATTTCGTGGGCGATGCTCAGCTTGGCAATCTCGTGAGCTGCTTCCTGGAGGTCGCTCACGGAGAGCATCTGCGGAGGGCTGGCTGCACAAAAACACTAAATAAACGAGGGAGCAACCAAACATGGAAACACAGTCTGCGAAAGCAACGTTAAACGCAGCCTAGCCTTAGGCTTAGTTTAGCCTTAGTCGGAAAGCTAAACGTTCCCCTTAAGGGGAGTGGKAGGATTTTAGGTACTGAAAAGTGCTAAGTAAGCGAGGGACGGCTTAAAAGCAGAGGGAAAGAAGGGAAAACAAGGTGTGTCCTAGTGCTTCTACATCGCAGCGGGGCCGTCACCCTGCGGGGCCAAGGCGGGACGCGGGGGCTCCCTCCTGCGCGGCCCCTCGCCCGCGTCCCCGAGGCAGCAGTGACCCCTAGCGCCGGCGGGAGGCGGCGGCCGCCCCGGCCCCCGCCCC